AGCTCTTCGACTTGGGCTTCGTGACCTGAGGCAGGCACCGCTTGGAGCGCTGAGGGCACTGTGGGCTGATCGGTACCCCACTGCTGCCCGCCTTGCTGCATGGGGAAAAGATGTGAAGGTGCACTGTGCCGCCTGTCAGTCTGATGATGGATCCTTCGGGCATGTGTGGCATGAATGTCCCAGCTTGCTGCAGCCCGATGAGAGCGAGGAGGCTTCTTGCGTTGAGGTTTTGTGTGAGCGACGCGCTTCTCATCGGGACGCTCTGCGAGCGCTTGGACACCGCCCCCCGCTCGATCCTGAGTTTGACAGATTAGATTTTAGTTATGGTTCCCCGAGGCTCTCGATCCAGCTTCCATCCCCGCCTGAATCGTCGGTGGCGTGGGAGTGGGGTGACGTTGGGGGTGAGTGGGGGCCTGTTACTTTCGGGGATGGAAGCGCGCAGCACCCCGCAGTGCCTGAAGTTAGGCGCGCAGGGTGGGCCATTGTTCAGCTCAACGATCAGCTCCTCCCTGTCCGCGCGGTGCATGGATCCCTGGAGGGTGCTGTCCAGACCGTGGGCAGAGCGGAGAGAACTGCGCTCTTGCATACCATGAGGCGTAATCCCAGATTGGAGGTTTTTGTTTCGGATTTGCTTTCTCTGGTTCAGGAAGGCTCGTCTTGGGACCCTGAATTGGCGTGCGGTATGAACAGATACGCTGCCATTTGGAGGAGTGTTTTTGAGTTGGCGAAGAGTAGGCCCGCCCAGGACCCTCCCCCTCACTTCTTTTGGACCCCTGCTCACCTCTCTCTTGAGGAAGTCCTGGAGCGAAAGCTGGACCCGATAACCTGGATCGGGAACGCTTGGGCCGACCTGTTTGCCAAGCTAGCGTCGACAAAGGTCATGATAGCTAGAACTACGGCCGAGGCGGTCGCTGGCGAGCTCAAGTTTCATCGTGCTACCATCGATTATATCTCCTGGGCTGCGGCCAGGCTCGCTCGACTCCGACGGTGGACCTCGCTGCCGCCGCCAGCGAGAGTGTGTCGACCCCCGCCTGCGCCGCAACTCAGCTTGCATGGTCACTCCTTTTTCTTAGACCCTGATTCAGGTGAGGTGAGACGTATCTCATGCTTTGTCGGGGCCTGGACCTGCAGCACCCTTGCGCATCTGTGTAACGGCCCCTCAAAGTTTTGCCGACCCACGGCCCTTTCGGCCCTTAAGGGGCAAGAGTGGTTGCGTGTGCGAAATCAAGCGCGGCCTGTGAAGGCTGCGGCTGTGGTCGAAGCGGACCAGGCCCTGGTGGCTGAGGGTCTGCTGCCGCCCCCTCCTCCCCCTGGAAATCCCTCGGGAAACGAGAGAGAGGCGGCCATCTGCGAATTCGAATCGAGAGGTCACACGATTGAGAAGTATGATCGTGTGATGATTTGCTCTATTTGTGCTGGCTTTGTGTTGCTTCCGCACGGCGTCCCTCGTGCTCTGATGGCAAAGTGTCTGGGTGCTTCCAAAGTGCCATCAACCAGGGACAAGCAGTTGCGGAAACTGTCCAAGGCCTCCAGAGGCCTGCACCCGTCCACGGGTGAAGTCCTTTCCTGCATGCAGGGCCCCTCTCCCTCCTCGCCTTTGTCCTCCCCTCAGGTGGCCGCCACTGCCGATGGTGGGGGTGCGGGGCGGTCGGGTGGAGCGGGCGGGGGGGGAGTGTCGGATGACTCTGACTAATGTTTTGTTCTTTCGGCGTCGGCTGCTGCCGTCGCCCGCCGCCGCCGCTGGCGGCCGCCTCCTGTGCGCGATGTACAGCAAGCTCGCGCCAGGCGCGCCCTGCTGTCTCCCGCGTGCCCACCTTTCCTAGCCTAGGGTTGTTCGTTCCCGCGGACGACCCTCCTGTCGGCGCCCACCTCCTCTTCCTCCTCCTCCTCCTCTTCCTCCTCCTCCTCCTCCTCCTCCTCCTCCTCCTCCTTCTCCCCACGCGGTCTGATCGGTTCGGGCGGACTCGCGAGGCCGCACCCTACGCACCCTCCTCCTCCTCCTCCTCCTCCTCCTCTCCTCCTCCTCCTCCACCTCCTCCTCCCTCCTCCTCCTCCTCCTCGTCCTCCTCCTCCTCCTCCTCCTCCTCCTCCTCCTCCTCCTCCTCCTCCTCATCCTCCTCCTCCTCCCCCCCTCCTCCTCCTCCTCCTCCTCCTCCTCCTCCTCCTCCTCCTCCTCCTCCTCCTCCTCCTCCTCCTCCTCCTCGTCATCCTCCTCGTGATCCTCCTCATCCATCCTGCGTCACATTCTCGTTCGCTGGACCGCCCTGAGGACCACCTGACGGATCTCTTCGGGTTTGTTTCGATTGTAACTCGATCCGAGTCCGGCTCAAAGCCGACTCGAGTTCAGCCTGTGGTCCCAAAACATTTGCACATCGAGCATGTAATTTGCGTGCGTGCGTCGTCGTTCGTATCCATTTCCATATCCAGTATTTGGTGCCGTGCGTGAGTCTAGCCGATGCTCATCCATATCCGCTGCGCCTCTGGTCTCTGGGGAAGGGTGCCCGAGCTTCCCAGGATGGAGTGGACAGATGGATGCACACTTTGCCTGCGTAGGCCAAGGGCGCCCTCGAGGGCGCGAAGTTATTCGCGCTTCGCGGTTCGGCTCCGATTCCTCCTCATCCTCCCCTTTTCTCCCTGGGGAGGCGGCGCGAGAGCGCGACGGTGCTCGCACTTCGCTCCGCGCAGCGCGCAGCGCGAAGCTGGGAGCCCTTGTGGGCGCAGCGTCCTGCGTGCCTGCGCCGCCCTCCGCCCGTCGTGCCCGGCCTGCCCGGCAGGCGCGCCGCCGCGGGAGCCCGGGGAGCCCGCGGCCGAGGCGGCGCCGGCCGCGGAGGCGGCCCCCGCCGGCGCGGGCCCGGCCGAGGCCGGCGCGGGGGCCGCGGGCGCGCCGCCGGCGGTCGCGGCGGGCGGGGCGGCCCTGGAGCAGTCCGAGCGGCGGAGGCTCGGAGGAAATCCGGCGGCGAGGGCAGGGGGGAGCAGCGGGTGAGCGCTCCGATGTGTCCAGGGGCCCGCCAGGGAATCTTCTGATAGCCTGTCTGCGGTTGGCACGAGCTGTTCTCATAACCTGTCTGGCTGAGACCGTCATTGTTGTAGTGCACAGGCTTTGTTTTCAACAAGGTGTTTTCGTTCTTACTACATTCTCTTGTTCTCATAGTTCTTCGTGGCAGAAGTATAAGGATGCCAGGACCGTCGGTCCCTGCTGAAAGGAGGGAAGTGAGAGGGGGCGGGCCTTCTTTGGGAAGTCTCGGCTGAGGCTCAGAAACGGGGGAGGAACTCAGAGGAGCAAGAGTTCATGAAAATGATTCAGTCCCAGGTTTCCTTTCTATGTTGCAGGTTCCACTCGTGTTCCACGCGGGCTGCAGAAACGAGGGCCGGTAGATACTCCAGAGCTCCTGGCGCGCACCCTGAGCCAATCGTATCAGGACGTCATCATCGTCCAAGAGCAGTCAGGGCCTCCCAGATGAGCGACGGGAGCGAAAAGGGGGCGACTGCGCCGACACTGGCGCGTAAACTTCCCGCGTCAGGTCGCGCGTAGGCGCCCTCGTTGCCAAAGTAGCGTGCCTCGCTGGCGGCCCGCGTAGCCACCGCGTAGGGTCGCTATGCCATCTCGCGCAAGACCCGTCTCTTCTCGTCTCTGAGATGGCGTCTGAGCAGGTGGGGTCGACGGACCGCTCCGCATCGCCGCTGCATCTGCGATGCGGCTCGATGTGGAGCCCGGCTTTCTCCACGCCGATGGCGCCGATATATCACCGACGTCGCCAGTGCATCGCCAATGCATCGCCGATGCATCGCCGATGCTTTGGCGATGCGGCGCGATTTTCCGACCCCATCCACGCCGACCCCATTAAGGAGGCCTCTAAAAAGGCATTCCGAATTTCAGAGTGAAGGGGGCTGTTGGATCGCAAACCTGCCAGACGAGCCATCTTAGAACCCCTCTACTGCCGAGACCCCCCAGAACTCGCCAGGACAGCTCAAATCAGATCACCCCAAGCAAGGCAGACCCTTTCGTTTTTTGATGAAGTTCGCAGTGCCGATGCCGCTTGGAGTCGAGTGGGGGTCCGAGGTCGCCCAGCATCGATTCCGGCCGGCAGGAACGGGGGGCGAGGTTCGATGTGCTTGGTTCGAACACGTCTGTCTGTTGTTTGCCTTTGTTCGGCCTCCAGGGGCCGTCCTCGGGCCGCGGGATCGACAACGACGTATCTGGGGTGAACAACTGTCGGGTATAGCCAGGACCCCAGATAAGGGGACCCGGTTGGTAGTAGGGCCCCGGGGCCCTTGAATTGGCCAGAATCACTATAGCTGGTGCTTTTCGGGTGACGGCACTTCCGGTTAGTGGAACGGAGCCTGGGGGGCGCCCCCCAGTACACAACACCAAACCAGGTCCCACTAAACCCAGTTCTGCCAACGCCCGAAACTGTACCAGATGAATCTCGAGAAGGGTCCAGGGACTGATTTGTGACCAGATCTGCTGTCCTTCGGAGCCCGAACAAAAAGGTGCAACCATTTTCTGGTGCCCACTGCCTCGAAGCTCGCCGCCCCCTCCTGCCAGCCGGAACCAGTGCTGGGCCACCTCAGACCCCCAGCCGGCTTCCAAGTCGGAACGCGCCCCAGGAGAGGTTTGGTCCCAGACATGCGCTGCCCGGATGTTTGGAATGCGGAGTTCCTGCAGTCTCGACCCTTTCCCTGGGACTGGCTTCTCATCCCGAGCTGTCTTTGACGGTCCCGCGGCCCGGCGAGGGCCCGAAATCGCCGAAGCCCTCCCGCCGTGTTCATGTCTACAGTCGGGGCGCTGACCGAAGGAACCCTATAAAGAAGGAACGAGGCCCCTTTTCTTCAGAAGTCAGACTTCGACTTCCCATCGAAAACCTCCAGAGAACACCCGAGGCAAACTGCGAGACAATGAAGGAGCACGGAGCCCCTCCCCGACAGAAAAGAGTTCCTTCCTCAGCGCCCCGACTGTACGGCGCGAGCATGTCTGGGGCGGCCGCGGGATCCCCCTGGAGGCGGCCGAAGCGGCCCGCTGGCGGCGCGGCCAGCGGCGCTGCTGAGGGCGCCCAGGCGGGCTCGGCGGAGGGCGGCTCCGAGCCGCAGCGCTCCCCGTCGCCGGGGCGCGTCGGCGCGCTGCAGCAGCAGGCCAGCAGGTGGAGGGCGCTGCCAGACGCGGAGCGGCAGAGGTATCGGGAGCTGGCCGCGAGGGACAAGGATCGGGCGACGAGGCCTAGCCATGCTCAAGTTGGGCATGTCCCTCTACAGGGGAAAGGTTCAAAAATGTAGTCTCGGGATGATGTTTCGATTATTTTTTTGCTATTTTTGAATATTGTTGAACGGCGTTCGAATTTCCAACCCCAGATCCGCCTGATGCCTGACCTGAAGACATGCTCGCGCGGTGGCAAAACCAGGGGGTGAAGTTTTTGGCCGTCTGGGGCCTCGGGGGCCCTCGCAGAGGCCGCGGGGCCGTCCAACGGCTCGGCGCGAAAAACCAGTCCCGGTGAAAGGGTCGGGTTTGCTGGAGAGACCGTGCTAAAAAAGTCAGGACATAGCATGTCTGGGGAAGCATGCACATACGCACACTTTTTCCTCCAGTGGCCGAGTGCCGTCTTGCAGGGAGCGGCTAAGGCGGGCCACGCTTGGCGTCATTCCATCAGGCGTGGCAGATGGGTGGACAACGCGGCTCGAGTCGTATGCAGAAACATGGGTGTGGCTGCGCTAGGCGAGCACAAACAAGAAAGACAGCATGCACCGTGCAAGGTAACTGCCGCTGTGCACACTTTTTTGGTCTGCGGGTCGGGAGCGGGCCCCTTCTGGTCAAGGGCTAAACGGGGCGCGGGTAGCCCTAATAGGAGAGACAGGGCGCGGGCGGGCGGGGCCTCAGGCGGCCGGAGGGCTCAGAGTACAGGCGGTGCCGAAGACCTTGCAAAGGACAAGGTACGCCATGGACTGGAGCAGGGGGCGAAGTCCCAGAGGGAGAGTGGATTGGTGTTGCCGTCATCGGCGCGGCTGTGCACACACACGCACACGAAGACACGCACGCACGCACGCGCGCACACACACACACACACACGCACGCACGCACGCGCACGCACACGTACACAAGCACACACGCACACACGCACAAACGCACACACGCACACACGCACACACGCACACACGCACACACGCACACACGCACGCACACACGCACACACGCACACACGCACACACGCACATACGCACACACACACACGCACACACACACGCACACACCAACACACACACACACATTCACATATCCCCACACATGTCCAGACACATATCCAGACACATATACACACACACGTATCCACACACGTATCCACACAGACACATATCCACACGCACACATCAACACATAGACACATACACTCATGCACATGCACATACACATACACATGCACATGCACATGCACATACACATACACATACACATACGAAAGAGCGCGTTCTGTGGGCGCCTGGAGAGGGGGGGGTGAAACCGGACCCCCCCCTTGGATGGAGGGGGTGGGGGTTCGAACCCCCCCCGCCCTCCCTCCTCTGTGCCCCCTCTCCTCGGGCCGGCGCTTGTGTCGGCGGCGGCTGGCGACGGCGGCGGGGACGACGATTTCCATTTCTGGGCCGCCGCTGGCGCCTGCGGCGGCGGGCGGCGGTGGCGGGGAGCGTCGACGAGGACGACGGTGGTTTGTGGTGGTGGTGGTGGTGATGGTGGTGTGGTGGTTTGTGGTGGTGGTGGTGGGTTGTGCTGCTGGTAGTGGTGGTGGTTGTGGCGGTGGTGGTGGTGTTTTGGTAAATTGTGGTGGTGGTGGTAGTGGTGGTGGGTTTTTGTGGTGGTGGTGGTGGTGGTGATGGTGAGTTGTGGTGGTGGTCGTGGTGGTGGCGGTGACGGTGGTGGTGGTGGTGGTTGTGTGGTGCTGTTGTTGTTGGTGGTGGTGGTGTGGTGGTGGGTTGAGGCGGTGGTGGTGGTGGTAGTGGTGGTTGTGGTGGTAGTGGTGGTAAGTGTCGCTGCGTCCCCGCCGTCGCCGGCGCCAGCGCCGACGCTCCTGGCCGCCGCCAGCGCTGGCGCCGGCGCGAGGGGGGGGGAGTGGTTGAACCCCCCCCCCTGGGCTGCCTCTGGTCATCGTCGCTGCGTCCCCGCCGTGGGCGCTGCTGGCGGCCGCCAGCGTCGGCGCCGGCGCCGAAGGGGGGGGGGGGTTGACCCCCCCCCCCCCTTCGGAGGGGGGGGGGGTCGGGAGGGGGGGGTTTGGGGGGGAGGGGAGTCCCCTTGGTTTTGACCGACGGCGCCAGTGTTGGACGGGGGCCCACCCCCCGGTTCGAAACGCGCCGCCGAGTGTTCCCCAGGCACGCGCCCGTGAAACGCGTTCTCTCACACATACACATGCACATACATACACATGCACATACATACACGTACACATACACATACAGATACACACATACACATACACATATACATACGCAGATACATTCACACATACACACATACACGCATACACACATACACACATACACACATACACGCATACACACATACACACATACACACATACACACATACACACATACACACATACACACATACACACATACACACATACACACATACACACATACACACATACACGTACACGTACACGTACACGTACACATACGCATACACATGCACATACACATGCACATACACATACACATACACGTATACATATATATTCATTCATTCACATCATTGGCTCCGATGTCTCAGCGAGTGCAGCTTGCCAGTCAAAAACTTAGCCTCGAAACTCATTTGTTAAACTCGAAGCGATGTCCCTACTCTCTGGCGGTCCTGAGGTTTCCACCTTCTGCGACGGCCTCGAATGCCGACGGGCCCGAAAAAAAACAGCCTGAGACCCACGACCTCCTGACGTGTGAAGAAGCCGAGGGGGTCATTTAAATAGGGACGGTCACCTCTGAGATCGATGCCACAGTCTAGCCTGATCTAAAACTCGCTTGCTCGAAACCATACTGTCAAACACTCGGCTTCCTGGGGCAACTCTCCTAGACGCAAGAAACATCGTAACCGTCAGCTCAGACACGACAGGGGAGGTGGAGGGTTCTCCTCAGCAGAAGCTGTCGGTGGGCCCGAAGTGGTTCGAGCGCGGCTCTGCGACGAAATATCCATTAGATTTGAAGTAGCCTCCATTCCGCTGGTGTCGTCCTTGCTGCCGCTGTTGGTGTCGGTGTTCGCTGCAATAACTGCTCCACCCAATCCTGTAACCCCCGCTCCATGTGCATCGCTGGCGCTCGCCCGTACTTCCATTTTGCCCCCTGTCGTCTTCAGCGTGTTCATCAAGTGTATGCGAAATTGAGGGTCCCTCACCGCCAGCGTGAGGCGCTTCTTCTCTTTCTCGTACATGCGGTCGACCTTGCAAAAGAAAACCAGCTCGGACTTCCGATCGCAATCTTAGCTGTCGCAGTCCGTGTACATTTTGTGCACTGTCGTCTTCAGGGGGTCATCTAGAGCCAATGCGATCACTGCCAACAATCCGCCCATTGCGTAGATCTGAGGGGGGCCCAGGTCGTGGTTTTTTCCTTTTTGTTTTGTGTTCTCGCCGTACGCCGCCGTTTGTTCCTGGATGAAAAGGATAATCGGGCTGTCGCTCCTGAGTACCAACGTGTCGAAGATTACGCTGCTCATGTCCCTGCTCTGCAGTGCGCACCGAAGGAGCTGCTTAACGATCAGACACATCAGCATCTTGGTGTGCCGAGGGAGTTGCTGTTTGGCCATCTCCATTGTTTCGTTTGTGCCTTCGCCGTCCTCCTCTTCACACATACACATCCACAACCACATACACATACACATACACATACACATATACTTACACATTCGCACACACGCGCGCACAGACACTAACACACACATACATACATACAAACACACACGCGCACACACACACACCAGACACCACACTTGTTTTCCGTCGGCGGCTATGCAGAGTAACTGCGCTGGCGGAGGGCTACCTGAACCCGGGCACCGTTGTAGCGAATTGTGCCACCATGGCCACACACCACACATTCACACACACACATTCACACACACACACGCACACCGCGCACACACACAACACACAGAACACACACACACAACACAACACACAGAACACACACACAGAGCACACAACACACACACACACACACACATAGACACACACACACACTGGTCCTGACCAGGCCCATGCTGAGCACAGGGTCTGGCTTGGCAGAGGGGGTGTATGCACCGATCCTGGGCCCAGGATTGGGCCTGGCCAGGGCAGGTGCGTGCGTGCGTGCGTGTGCTACGTGTTGCCAACGAGGAGCGCTTCGAGCGGGAGCTGCAGGCGTGGCGCGCCGAGCAGCCGGAGGAGGCAGGCCTCGCCGACGCGGCGGGCCCGTCGTGCAAGCGGCGCAGGAAGGGCCAGGGCTCGCAGGGGCCCGGCTGCTCGACGCGCGGCCTGTCCGCCTACGCCATGTCGGGTTTTGCCGTAGGTGTTCCTGGCCCCAGGTGCCCTCCTGTTTTTCGAGCCATTCTGGGGCCCCTGCGAGGGCCCTCAGGGCCTCGTGAGGGGTGCCCTGGCGGCCACCTGAGCGAAGGAGGAGAACAGGGGCGACCGCGCCGACATTGGCGCGCAAGCTCGTTCTTTATGCTTCGGTCTTGGCGCACGTTTGTTTTGACGGTATCCCCGTCTGGGTTTCGGGGGGTTGCGGGTCCGTTTGGGTCCTTCCCCCCTCCGCTCCTTCTTCTTCACCTCTTCCTGCTTGTGTAGCTACAGGGGGGGAGCGTTGCAGGATTTATGCCCTAGGCCCTAGCCACAGGTGTCAGGGCGCGCGCGCGCGCCCCCCGTTCGTCGTCGGTGTCGTGACGGACGATTGCAAACCGTTACTTTGTTTCGGGCCTTTCAGGTGAGCCACGGCAATACGCAAGCTCGAACAACTGGCGGGAACTTGGCCGCCTTCGCAGGCGAGCCAGGGCCCAATGCCGGTAAGATTTGCCGAGGAGGGAGGTTTTGCTCTTAGGCTACTCCGTCCCTGTACATCGGCTATCAGCCGAAAGGCCCGCTCACGGGGGGCCTGAGCATCCCGGATTCGCCGGTCGCGAATCTCGAGGCCATAAGCTCGGACATGGAGCCGTGCTGTGGCATGCGAGCGGTCAGCTGTCGCCGCCATGGCTGGAACGGATCGAGAAGCTGGTGACGAACATGCCATTTCTACAAGGTTAAATTCGATACATCGACGCCCGCAGGTGCTTCGCACAACGGTGCCTTTGTGTCGGGGAAATCTGGCGCTATCTGTTTGACGGTGTCCCCGTCTGGGTCTCGGGGGGTCGCGGGTCCGTCTGGGTCCTTCCCCCTCCACCCTTTTTCTTCACCTCCTCCTGCTTGCGCTGCGGCAAGGGTGGAAACACCGCGGCAGTTGTGCCTGAGCGACACGTATATAGGGCGCGCGCGAGCACCCCCCCTTTGTCGTCGGCGCCGTGAGGGGCGATTGAATGTTTTTGTTCGGTTTCTCTTTTCAGGTTCTCTCGTGAGTGGCGGCAGGACGAAAGGCTCGAAAAACTGAGAGGGGCCCTGGCCGCCTTCACAGGCGAGCCAGGGTCCAATGCCTCTAAGTGTTTGCCGCATGAGCAGTTCCATCCTCATACATAAAGCGCCCCGCGTAAGGTCGCGCGCGCGCGCCTTCGTTTCCAGCCTAGCGCGCCGCGTTGGCGGCACGCGTAAGCCTCGGCGTACTCTTGTTACGTCATGTCGCACAGAATTCTTTTATTTTCGCTGGGTTCACCTTGGGCCAGGGGCGCCTCTGGCAGCAGCCGGGCCATCTTCTGCGCTCACCGCTCCGCGGAACTCCGCCGAGCCAGCGGCGCCGACGGCGCCAGCGGCGCTGCCGCCGAGGCTCGGGGAGACGTGAGATTCGAATTTGCCAGAGCTCGGGCTTGCCGCAGCTTTTTGGCGGTCCCAATCCCTATCCCTATTTTTGGCCTCATTTACCTCGGTACCGATCTTAAGGATTCCCAGAGTTTCTGAAGGCACATCCCTAAGCTTGTCATTGTTTTTGGCTTGCCGATCTTAGGGATGGGGATAAGTTCGAGTCTGGTTCCCCAACGTGCATTGCGAGGGTTCCGTTTTCATGTGATGTTTGTATCGGGGGCGGTCAAGAAAGAGTGATGACAAGGGGTGTGCTTATATCATGGCCAGGGCCATGGTCAGAGTGAGGGGGCCGAACGGTCCGTCAATGTCCGTGGGCGCGCGACTGGAGTGAGGTTCCGCGGTGCGGACTGTTGTTGTTGAGCTTTCACTTATGAGGGTTACCTATTATTGATCCCCCCCTCCGGTAACCATGGCATTTCTCTTATTCGAGTGCCCCTCCCGGGGCTCGCATTTTCCTTTATCTGGGAAAGTCTTGAGCCTCAAAATTGGCGGCGGGCCCCCGAGTTACAACAACAACGAAGCCCGCCGGATATTTCCTCACAGTTGATTCCCCACTCGCGCTCTCGCGCGGGACGTCCTCACTGGTGATGCAGGAATCGCGCTCTCGCGTGGGACTTCCTGGGGATGTGTTCGAACGCCGCGCCCTCGACGCTCAGGAATCACGCTCTCGCTGCGGGTTTCATTGGCGATGTATTTCGGGATCGCGCTCAAGCATTGCTCGCGATTCTTGCATGGCGTACGCTTCAGCAGTCCGCCTGCTCGACCTGGCCGCCAAGGCCCGCCTGCCCGACCCGCCCGTCCGTGTCTACCCGCCCGATCTGCCCGTCTGGTTCTGCCACGTGCTTTCTGCTCCTGGCCCCCCTCCTCCCTCCCCCTTTCGGGCCGGACGAAAGGGGGGGATTGGGAAAGGGGGGGTTACGAAATTTGCTGCATGCAGCCGGTTTCGGCCCCGCCGCCGGGCCCATTCCGCGATACATGGGCGCCTCCCGGCGCCGGGAAAGTCAGCCACGTGAGCTGATTCTGAACCCCCCCCCTTTGTTATCCCCCCCTTTCGCCCGACCCGGCCCGATTGTCCCTTCCTTCCATCCGTCCTCTCTTCCCCCGCCGTGGGGCTGCACGGGATACACGTTGCAGGTGAGAAAGGTATATTCCCCCCAGGGGGTACGATCTGAGACGAAGAAGGGCGGGTATCCAGGGTTTGGGCAACACATGTTGATTGACACGCACGCGTATAAGAGCGAGCAGTCTTAAATTTGTTCTTATTGTTGTGGTTGTCGCTGTTGTTGTTGTTGGTGTTGAAGTGTCACTTCTAAAGAACACCTTTTGTTGATCCCCCCTCTGGGGCAGGCCGCGTGTTTCAATTGAAGTGTTCTTCCCGGGGCTCGCACCCTGTTTTTAATCAGGGAATGGTTTGGGTCTCCGACTTGTTTTCTTGCCATATACTTCCTCACAATTTACTCCCACATCGCGTCCTCTCGCGGGACTTCCTCATGCAGACATCGCGCTCTCGAGTGAGAGTTCCTCGCAATGTATTCAGACGCCGCGCCCTCGACACTCAGGAGTCACGCGCTCGCTGTGCAATGCGTTTCGATTGAATTGGAAATCGCGCCATCGCTCGAGACTTCCTCGCGATTCATGCAGGACGCACGCTTCAGCAAACCGCCTGCTCGACCTGGCCGCCTGGGCCCGCCTTCCAGGGTCTACCCACCCGATCTGCCCGTCTGGTTCTGCCACGTGTTTTCTGCTCCTATGTCCCCTCCTGCTACTCTCTCTCGTGCTCAATCCTCCTCCCTCCTCATTGCCTCTTCCTTCCATCCGTCCTCTTTTCCTCCGCCTTAGGGGCTACACGGAGTACACGTTGCAGGTAAGAAAGACACAGCCGTAAGGGGGTGCGATCGGAAACGAAGAGGGCGGGTATCGAGGGTTCGGGAAATGAGTGTTGAATGGCAAGCAAGCAGATAAGAGCGACCAGTCTTACACTGATTGTGGTTGGTGCCGCTGTTGTTGGTGTTGATGTTGATATTGTTGATATATGTTGTTGTTGCTGCTGTCGTTGCTGTTGTTGTTGTTGTTGATGATGTTGTCGTTGTTACTGCTGCTGTTGTTGTTGAGCTCTCGCGATAACTGTTGTTGACCCCCCCTCTGGTGACCATTGTATTTGTTTCAATTGAAGTGCTTCCCCCGGGGCTCGCACCTTTTTTTCGTAAGGGAAAGTCACTAGGCTCAAACTGGGTTGTGGGCCCCCGGTTTACAACAACGATGGCTCCCGCCTGATATTTCCTCAATGTAATCCCAGATCGCGCTCTCGCGGGGGACTTCCGCAGAGTTAGCACACGATTCGAGCTCTCGCGTGGGATTTCATCGCAATTTATTCGGACGATGCGCCTTCGGCACTCAGGAATCACGCTTTCGCTTTGACTTTTCAAAAGATTTACTTGGGAATCGCACTATCGCTCGAGACTTACTCGCGACTCATGCAGGACCCACGCGTCAGCAACCCGCCTGTTCGACCTGGTCGCCAGGGCCCGCCTTCCCGACCTGTCCGCCATGGGTCTGCCCACCCGATCTCCCCGGTGTTGTTGCTGTTGTTGTTGTTGTTTTTGTTGCTGTCTGGTGTGCTTGTTGTGGTTGTGGTCATTGTTGCTGCTGCTGTTGTTGCTGGTGTTGTTGGTGTTGCTGGCGTTGTTGTTGGCGGTGTTGTTTTTTGTTGTTGAGTTTCCATTTTCTTTGAGAATACACGCCGGTCGTTGAAAGTATGTATTTATGGATTCCCAGAGCCCAATCTACTTCAAGCGCCTTCCTACTTCAAGAATCGACACGCTTTTGCTGTGTTTTGTTATTCTCTAGGGGGCCTGGACCCAATCAACTTAATCCGCCTTCCTACGTTATGTTTTTACCTACTTCTTCCGACCGATGCGTACTCCAGCATCGTATTTTCACGGTGGACTCCCCTTGGATGTGAGAAGCAATCGCGCTCTCGCGTTGGAGTTCATCGCAGTTTACTCAGACGCCGCGCCCTCGGCACTCAGAAATCCCTCTCTCGCTGTGGATGTCCTTGCGATGTATTTGGGGATCACGTTATCGCCCGAGACTTCCTCGTCATGCATGCAGAACGCACGCTTCAACAACCCGCCTGCTCGACCTGGCCGTCTGGGCCCGCTTTCCCGACCCGCCCGTTAGGGTTTGCCCGCCCGATCTGCCCGTCTGCTTATGCCACGTGCTGTTTGCTCCTAGCTCCCCTCCTGCTACTCCCTCTCAAGGTCCATTTTCTCCCTCCCCCTTGTCCCTTCCTTCCATCCGTCCCGTCTTCCTCCGCCTTCGGGGCTACACGGAATACACGTCGCAGAAAAGAAAGATATACCCTTAATCGGGGTACGATCGAAGACACAGAGGGCGGGTACAGAGGGCATGGGATATATGTAATGAGTGGCACTCGAGCAGGTAAGAGCGAACAGCCTGACAATGGTTGTTATTATTGCTTTTGTTGGTGTTGTTGTTGATGTTTTTTTTGTTTTGATCTCCCATGTTTAACGAAGATGTCTTATTGATGCCCCCTTCGGCAACCGTTGCATTTGTCAATCAAAGTGCTTTTTCCGGGGCCCTGTCTTCACAAAGGAACGTCAATGGTCACCAACCTGTGCCCCTGGCCCCCGGTTTACAACAACAACGGCTCCAGATAGATGTTTCCTCACAATGTATTCCCAAATCGCGCTGTCGCGCGGGACCCCCTCACAATTTATGCAAGAGTCGCGCTGTCGCGCCCTCGACACTCAGGAATCACGCTCCCACTATAGATTCCTTTTCGATGTCTTTGGGAATCGCGCTATCGCTCGAGACTTCCTCGCAATGTATGAAGTTTTCGACCTCGCCGCTTGGGCCCGCCTTCCCGGCCCGCCGGTTAGGGTTTACCCGCCCGATCTGCCCGTCTGGTTCTGCCACGTATTTTCTGCTCCTGGCCCACCTCCTGGTACTTCTTTTCGTGCTCCATCCACCTCCCTCCCCCTGTCTATTCCTTTCCATCCGTCCTCTCTTCCCCTGCCTTAGGGGCCGCGGTAAATGCACGTTGCAGGTAAAAAAAGATGCACCCCTGAGGGGTACGATCGAAGACGAAGAGGGCAGGTATCGAGGGTTCTGGAATTACGCTTTGAATGGCAAGCGAGCAGGTAAGAGCGAACAGACTTGACATGTTTGTTGTTGTTATCGTTGTTGAGTCTTCAGATGTATCGAATAGTTGTTGCTGATCACCCGCTCCCGTGATCGTTGCATGTTCAAACGCAGTGCTCACCCCCAGGCTCGCACATTATTTTTTACAAGGGAAGTGAGATGTCACCAAACCGTGTCTTTGGCCCCCAGATTACAACAACAGCGGTTCCCGATTGTTTGTTCTTCATGCGGCATTTCCTCACAGTGTAGACATGAATCACGCCTTCGCGTAGGACTTCCTCGCAACTTATCAGACGGCGCGCCCTCGACACTCAGGAATCACGCTCTCGCTTTGGCCCGACTCATGACTTCCTTGGGAATCGCGCTATCGCCCGAGAGTTCCTCCCAATTCACGCAGCACGCACGCTTCATCAACACGCCTTCTCGACCTGGCAGTCTGGGCCGGTATTCCCGACCCGCCCGTTAGGGTCCACCCGCCCGATGGGCCCGTCAGGTTCTGCCACGTGCTTTTTGCTCCTAGCCCCCTCCTGCTAATCCCGTGCTCAATCCTTTTCCCTCCCCCTTCCATCCGTCCTCTTTTTCCTTCTTTCAGGGCGGCACCAATTACAAGCGTCAGGTAAGGACGATATACCCCCAGAGGGGGTATGATGGAAGACGAACCAGGAGGGTAGTTACCGAGGGTGTGGGATATATGCGTTGAATGGCGCGCGAGCAGGTAAGAGCCGATCAGTCTTGAAATTAGTGTTGTTGTAGTTGCTGCTGCTGCTTCTGCTGCTGCTGTTGTTGTTGTTGTTGCTGCTGCTGGGGTTGTTGTTGGTGGTGGTGTTGGTTGTTGTTGCTGCTGCTGCTCTTGTTGTTGTCGTTGTTGTTGCTGTTGTTGTTGTTGTTGCGTTGCTTGCTGTCGTCGTCCCACCTGCGACCCGGCCCGTGATCCGCCCGTGACCATCCCGCGACCCACCCGAGACACACGTGACCCACCCGCGACCCACCCCGCGACCCACCCCTGACCCACCCCGCGACCCACCCCGCGACCCACCCCGCGACCCGCCCGCCACCCGCCTGCGACCATCTGCGACCCACCCGCGACCAGGCCCGCGATCCACGGCCACCCACTCGCGATCCACCTGGAGGTTTTCTCCGAAGGGCTCAGGCGACCCGTCCTCCTCCTTCTCCTCGTCATCCTCCTCCTCCTCTTCCATCTTCTCCTCCCACTCCTCCTCCTCCTCCTCCACCTCGGGTCGCCTACGGCCCCGGGGGAAACCGTGCAGATCCACCCGCGACCTACCCACTTTTGCTTTATCGAACAAATCGGCGCCCGCGGCGGGCTCGCTGTATAGTTTTTAAAGTTGGGCGCCTGCGGCGGGCTCTTGCAGGTCCTCGCAGATTGCCGACGTCCCCGTCTTCCCCTGCCTCTTATCCGCAACTGCGGGCCACTGCGGGGTGCTACGTGCATGTTTGGATATCATGCCCCCCCTTATTTGTGTGGTAAGTGTTATTATAATTTTTCATTGTTAATTATTTTCGTTACTATTATTGTTATTATTGTTATTATTAGTCTGTTTATTATTGTTATCCTCCTTCTTCTTCGTCTTCTTCTTCTTCTTCTTCTTTCAGTGCGTCATCTGGCCCCCCATGGGCCGCGCCCGTGCCTCGGGACATGATGCGCCCCCCCACCTCTCCTCTTCCTGGCCCCCCCTTGGGCCCTCCTGCTTGCAGCGGCAGCGCGCGCCAAATCTCCGGCTGGGCCTCGCCATTTCCTGGACGGCCTCGCCAGGCCAACTCGGGTCCCCCGAACCCGAGTCTTTTGGCGGCCAGCCCGGCGGGGACGTTCGAAGGGGCGGGCCTTCCCAGAAGGCTCAGAAGCCCCCCAGCCTTCGGAGAAGTCTCCTGAGCCTTCCCCGAAGACACAGACAACTTCTCAGAAGGCCGGAGGTCTTCTGAGAAGTCCCGCCGCCTTCTGAGAAGGCCTTCTCCTTCTCTCTTCCCCCCTCGGGCACGCCGCCGAGTTTGGTTTTTGGGTCATAGCTCGGGTCTCTGGCGGGCGTTGGGGACGATCGGGGCGCTCACGGAACGCTCACGGCGAGGCGCAGTTGCCGGCAAGCGTCCAGCTGCTGGAAAACCGCCGAGAACCGACGCAAATTCCCGAACATCCTTAACCTCGAACTTTGAGCCCGAAAGTTCCCCCCCCCTCGCTCGCCACCGAGTCTTGCGTCGCCCGGAGAGGCGGCCGGTGCCGAGGCGGACTCGGCGGCCCCCGCGGAGTCCGCGTCCGGCGGCGGCGGCGCCGCCGAGGCGGTGGGTGCCGACGCGGAGGCGGCGGCCGCCGCGGAGTCCGCGCCCGGGAGCGGTCCGCGCGCCGGGGCTCCCCCCCCTCGCGAGTGGCCTTGTCGGGTGCGACGACGGCGACGACGAGAGCCCCTCGCCGGAGTTCTAGGCTTCCTATCGGGTCGGGCGAAAGGGGGGGATTGGGAAAGGGGGGGTTACGAAATCTGCTGCATGCAGCTGGTTTCGGCCCGACCGAGGGGCCCATTCCTCGATACATGGGCGCCTCCGGCGCCGGGAGGCGCCGGGAAAATCAGCTACGTGAGCTGATTCTCAACGCCCCCTTTGCTATCCCCCCCTTTCGCCCGACCCGATCCTAGATGGGGTCGGAGTAGATGGGGTCGGAGGATCGCGCCGCATCGCCGATGCATCGGCGATGCATCGGCGATGCGGCTCGATACGGAGCCCGATGTTCTCCACGCCTACGTCGCCGATGCATCGCCAACGTCGCCAGTGCATCGCCGATGCATCGCCGATACATCGGCGATGCATTGGCGATGCGGTGCGATCCTTCGACCCCATCTACTCGGTCCCCATCTAGGAGGCCTCTAGGAGTGGTCTTCTGGGTGCGACGACGTCGACGACTCGACGACGACGGCGACGACGAAAGCCGCGTCGTTCCTTAGTCAGCGTTCCCTGTGTCACGGGGAGGAAAACACACCCGGACTGGGCAATCTGGCGTTTACTAAACGGCACGGGGCGTTTACTGAACAGCCCTGCCCTGCTTGATTCTTCCTTTGGGTGCGTTTGCTAGACGGCTTCGCGTGTCGGGGTGGTTATTCTCGGGGTGGATGTTCTGCCCTCTACTGTGGCAGCACGGTGGCTGCACGCTGTTTCGCCTTGCCTCGACCACAGGGCCCCTCCCTGCACCGGGCCTGTTTCGCCTGTGCCTGCCGCCCTTCAAACCCCGCCCCGACCCCCAGGGGATCCCACCGCCGCGCGCCAAGGGTCACCCTCTGCCTGGGTTCACTCCCCTCCTCCTCATCCTCCCTCCTGTTCCCTCCCTGCCTCCTCCTCGAGGGCAAGCACACGGGCAACTCTGTGTTATCTATGTGATTGGCCTCTGGGCCTCCTCCTCCTGCTGCTCCTCCTCTTCCTCCTCCGCTTCCTCGTGCCCCTCCGCAGCTATTCTCGACGTCGCGGTGTTGTGCTTCGCCACGTGCTTTGGCCCTGGACCCCATCTGGGAGGGACCTGGCCTCTTGCCCCGAGCCGACGCTCGGCGACACCTGGGCGGCCCGAGAGGCCCCAGGTGCCCGCAGTGGTCGAGCACTTTTTTTTCGTCGGCGGCGAGGCGGGACGATCCGCTCCAGCGCGGCAGCGATTCTGGGGCGCTACAATGCAGTCGAGCGCGTCCCTCTGCAGGAGGAATGCTCGAAGAGAATCCAGAAACAGGCCGGGGACGAGGTTTGTTTTGATTGTGTTTGATGTTTTGTTGAGCATGTTCGGAGGTATTTAAAATTCTTCGCCCCAGATCCCTCTGTAGGGGGACCAACCCGACCTGACATTACAAAGAAAATGGACAAGCACCTTCCGTCATAATTTCTGCCACGGCGCGCTCAGGTTTTGCCTTCGGGTTGCAGCCGAGGGCCCCGGCGAGCCCCTTCGGGACGGCCGGGGGTCGCCCTCCAAAGAGCGCCCTCGGCGAGGCGCATCGGGGATGGACAGACCTCCTACCCTGACACGTCGATTAAGGAGTTGGCCGTTCTCGGTTCGCGAGAGGGCGTCGCGGCCGTCATTTTTGCGGGTCCAGGTCCGTCGGTTTCGGTCCCAGGTCGTTTTCACTAAGGGAAGGTCTACTAAAGGGAGGTTTGTCCACCGCCGAGCGCAGCTGCAGGAGGGCATCCCGAGGCTGGTGTCCGATCTTTTCGGACGACGACGACTCGGGCAGGGCAGGGGCCTGGGGAGGGGCCCCCCCAAAGGCAAGAAGCTGCCAACAGCGCAGCATCGCGACGCGGAGAGGGGGCAGGGCCCCCGCGTGCGCGCGATCAGGGAGGCTCAGGGTGAGGATTCACGAGGAGGAGAAGGAGGAGGAGGAGGAGGAGGAACAGGAGCAGGAGGAGGAGGAGGAGGAGCAGGAGCAGGAGGAGCAGGAGAGTCGGAGGAGGAGGAGGAGCAGCAGGAGGAGGAGGAGGAGGAGGAGGAGGAAGAGGAGCAGGAGGAGCAGGAGATGAGGAGGGGCGAGTTTGTTCCCCGCGGGGAGAAACAAGGGGAGGGGGGGAAGCAACACTGAAGACCCTCCGCGATTCCTCGCTCCAGGGCATTCTGGAACACAGGAGCGGCCTCGGAGCCCGATGTGATCGTTGTCTTATTCAGTGTTTTGCCGATCTGCGCGGGCCCTCGCCCCCCCTGCCCCTCCCCCCCCCGTGGAGTAGATCTTGGCTGTTTTTGGCGCCTGTTTCGAGCAGGTGGAGTCTCCCGATACGACGCATTGCTGGAAACAGTCGCACTGAGCAGAGGTCCAGAGTCAGGCCCCCCGCCCCTCCCCCTCCTGTCCGCCCAGTGTTGAAACGCCGAGTAAGAAAACGCTCACGGTGCTAACCGTGGGAGCCCATGCCGCCGGGAGAAACATGGGGGAGGGTGGGGAAACCGGAGGAGAAGCAGGAGCAGGAGCAGGAGAAGGAGAAGGAGCAGGAGGAGCAGGAGGATCAGGAGGAGGAGGAGCAGGAGGATGAGGAGGAGGAGGAGCAGGAGGAGGAGCAGGAGCAGGAAGAGGAGCACGAGAAGCAGGAGGAGCAGGAGGAGCAGGAGGAGGAGGAGGAGGAGGAGGAGGAAGAGGAGGACCAGGAGCAGGAGGAGGAGCAGGATGAGCAGGAGATGAGGAGGGGCGAGCTTGTTCCCCGCCGGGAGAGACATGGGAGAGGGTGGGAAGCAGCACTGAAGACCCTCCGCGAATCCTCGCTCCAGGGCGCCTTGGAGCGCTCTGGAGCGGCTCCCTCGGAGCCCGAGGCCGCCTCAACCCAGACCCGCGGGCTCTCGGAGCTTCCCGCCTTGTCTTAAGCCAGGCGTGTCCCTCTACAGGAGGAACGTTCACATATTTTTCAAAGACAAGGGAAACTGTTTGGGGAAGATGTTTCAAATCAAATTATCCCAGTGCGACCCTACCTAGGAGTTGGAGCCCACAGGAAAGCAGCATTAGTAATAACAGTAAAGCTAAGCTAAAGCTAAGCTAAAGCTAAGCTGAAGCTAAGCTAAAGCTAAGCTGAAGCTAAGCTAAGGCTAAGCTAAGACTAAGCTAAAGCTAAGCTAAAGCTAAGCTAAAGCTAAGCTAAAGCTAAGCTAAGGCTAAGCTAAAGCTAAGCTAAAGCTAAAGCTAAAGCTAAGCTAAAGCTGAGCTAAAGCTAAGCTAAAGCTAAGCTACAGCTGAGCTAAAGCTAAGCGAAAGCTAAGCTGAAGCTAAGCTAAGGCTAAGCTAAAGCTAAAGCTAACACTAAGCGAAAGCTAAGCTAACTCTAAGCTAGCACTAAGCTAAAGCTACGCTAAAGCTAAGCTAAAGCTAAGCTAAAGCTAAGCTAAAGCTAAGCTAAAGCTAAGCTAACGCTAAGCTAAAGCTAAGCTAAAGCTAAACTGAAGCTAAGCTAAGGCTAAGCTAAAGCTAAGCTAAAGATAAGCTAACACTAAGCTAAATCTAAGTTAACACTAAGCTGAAGCTAAGCTAAAGCTAAGCTAACATTAAGCTGAACCTAAGCTAAAGCTAAGCTAAATCTAAGCTAAAGCTAAGCTAATGCTAAGCTAAGGCTAAGCTACAGCTAAGCTAAAGCTACTCTAAAGCTAAGCTGGAGCTAAGCTAAATCTAAGTTAAAGCTAAGCTAAATCTAAGCTAACACTAAGCTGAAGCTAAGCTAAAGCTAAGCTGGAGCTAAGCTAAAGCTAAGCTAACACTAAGCTAAAGCTAAGCTAAAGCTAAGCTGAAGCTAAGCTAAAGCTAAAGCTAAGCTAAAGCTAAAGCTAACGCTAAAGCTCCCAGGGGATTGGGGGAACCGCGGGGCGGGGACTGGGGGAACGGCCCGGGGCGGTTAGCATTGCCCGGCCCTTTAAGCAAAGAGAGTAAGAACCCTTCTAGGCAGAGCCTAGGTAGGGAAAAACATCAAACGAGAACAATGACATTTAAACGTTGTGTTTGTACTATTGCTTAACAGAAAAGTATTCCCAAACAGTTTTTTCTCGTAAGAAACCATTTTGGGACGATTCCTAAGTTTTGTAACATTTTTGCACAGTCTTGGGGTATTGTCAAGCTGCTGTCCAAGGAAGGTCTCTCGTGGCAGGCTCCTCGTGGACCGGCCTCCGCTGCATCCTCCTCCGAAATCGGTCTCGTGCTGCTTTCGCCTTCACTGCGCGAGAGGGGCGGGCGCGGCCCAGGCCCACGTCGCCTGCGCCCACGTCGCCGATGCATCGCCGACGTCGCCGATGCATCGGCGATGCATCGGCGATGCGGCGCGATCCTCGAGTTATGACCCTCGAGTTCTGACCCTCGAGTTATGACAAAAATCACGACGGGAGTGTTTTCGCTGTTTTCGGCCTCCGGGGGCCCTCACTGGGCCTCGGGGCCATCCAAGAACGGCTCGGGACGGTAAACCGGTCCCGGGGAATGGGTCGAGATTTCTGGGGGTCGACGTCCAGCCCCAGCTACTCAGACTCCGTTTTTGGAGGCCTCTAGAGTCGAACTTATACACCGAAGTCGCCGATGCAGCGGCGATGCATCGGCGATGTGGCGCGACCCTCAGACCCCATCCACTCGGACCCCATGGGAGGCCTCTGACAGCCAAGGAGCTGAGGTATAAGGACCACCTTGGGGGCTCAGGAGGGGCTCCAGCACTCCTTCTGCTCCTGAGGCCCTGGTCGGGAAGCCTCCTCGTGGCCCAGGCTCGCCGCGGCCGGAAGCGCCCCCCCGCTCCTCCTTCCCAGGCGTGCCAACTCTTGCCATGCCCAGCGCGCGCTCCCCAGGAGTCCGCGACCCACTCCTCGGGGCCGGCGTTCCACTCCCGAGGCGTCCAGGGCCTCCCGGGGGCCCGGCGAGGGCCCCGAGAGGCCCGGAACGGCCAGCAGCTTCCCGCCCGCATCTTTTCTGTTTGGTTCCCGGCGCCGAGCACGTCGGGGCTCTCGCGCCTCATAGCGGGCGCTCCTTACCAGGTAGGCCGACGGCTGCACGCGTTCCGCCCCCGCCTCCAACCTCGCGCAATACGACGAGTTTCGTTTCGTCGCTCACTTGGGAGGCCTCTGGCGAGGGGGGCGGGGGCCCCTGCGTGCACGCGACGAGGAGCGGGCGCGGATATCCATGGGAGGCCCAGCGCCGAGGCAGAACATCCGCGCGGCCCCCCGAACGTTCAGCTCTGCTTTCTTTTGTAAGAGCCCCCTCGTTCCTTCTTGCTAAGGCCTTACGGCCGGCGCCGCCGACCCTCAAAGGGACGACGACGACGACCACGACGACGGCGACGACGACGACGACAGTTGTGGCGGCGGCGGCGATGACGACGACGGCGACGACGGCGACGACGGCAAAAGCGACTGCGTTCCCTACGACAGCCTTCACTTTGGCAGCACGGTTGGCTACACGCGACGAGGCTTACGTCGGGCATGTCCTCTCCACAGGGGGAAGGTTCAAGAATAGCCCGGGACCGATGTTTCGAATTTGGTTTGGCTATTTTTGTCCTGCACTTGTTTTGCATATTTTTTTGTTCGTCCAAGGTCCCGCCTGTAGGGGGGCGTGCCCGACCTCAGCCGAGGAGCGGGCGCGGCCCGGGCAGAGCGAGCGGCGCCCGGGCGCTGCAGCGGCTGCGCGCCGAGTTCGCGGCGCTGACGCCCGAGGCCAGGGCTGCATACGAGGCCCGCTCCCTGCAGGACGTCGGCCTTGGAGTCGGCCGGAGGTCTGAGCTCATCAGAGGAAAGAAGTCGGGTATACAGCCAGGACCCCAGGGTATTGGGACCCGGCTAGTGGCAGGGCCCCGGAGCCCCTAGATTGGCCAGAATCACTGGGACAGGTCTGCTGTAGCTGGTGTTTTTTCGGGTGACGGCAGTTCCGGTTAGTGGAACGGGGCGGGGGGGGCGAACCCCAGTACACGTCGTTAAACCAGGTCCCACTAAACTTAGTTCTGCCAACACCCGAAACAGGTACCCATACCTCTCCCCTTCCCTCGTTTTCATCTTTGTGGGCCTCCTGGGAGGCCCTCGTCGCCACCGCTGGATTCGCCTCGAAATTTTGGCCAGAACGCACCCCGAGAGAGGCCTGGGGAGAAGCGGAATCGGTATTTTTTGGCTTCCCCAGCTTAGGTCTGGCATGTTCTCCCAAGGGCGGATTTTGGAAGAAAAGTGGAACAATTGCCAACAAATAGTCAAAACATAGTCCAAAGATTATTTCTGAATTTCCTGATGTAGAGGACAGGCCCGACTTCAGTCTGGGCCGGCGCGGCCCTGGTTCCAGAGAGCAGGAAGGGAGGGCTCAGTATCGTTTATCCGACCCCCATCCCCATCCCCAACCCTTTCGAGACCCCCACCGAATCACCCCCCCAGTTGGGGATACACCCCTCGAAACCCGAAGGGAACGGCCTATATCCCCATCTATTGGGGTACATCGGCCAGTGGGGCCCAGGCCACGCCGCTGGGGATGGGGATCGGTTGAACGATGCTCAGGGGCGAGGTTCGGGGCTTGAACAGGTCTCCAGCTTTCTTTCTTGGGGCCGCCTTCGAACGGGCCCAGGGGCCGTCAGAAGCGGATCCAGTCGGGAGCCTCGAGACGGGTGTCAGTGCAAACAGGGTTCAGCCAGAGCGCCGGATCTTGCAGGATCTTGCAGGGCCGGGGGCGCACTAACTCGTGTTTGGGTGCAGGACCCTGCAGGGTCCTGCAGGATCCTGCGTATTGACCTGGGTCTGGGCGCAGGATCTTGCAGGGTCCTGCAGGTCCTGACTGACCGGGTCTGGGTTGACCCGGGTCGGAAGATCCCCGATCCAGGGTGGGACTTTGCACCAGACGGACCTCGAGAGGGTGCCAGGGACGATTTTTACTTGTATTCTCGGGGCCTAACCAGGTCGGACTCCTTGGCCGCCTCCCAAGGGAGGTCGCCATGAAACCGGCTGTATCCCCTGGCGATAATAACTGGCGTGGCTGGGGGGAGGGGGAGGGGGTTGAGTGGGCCGGTCACGTCACAGTTCGCGCAGGCGCCGTCTGGGAATGCTCAGGGAATGCCGATTCCCACACCGCGCCGACGCGAATCGTGACGTGACCAGCGGGGGGGAGGTAGAGGGGGGGTGGCAGGGCCGGTCACGGGCGTTACCCCGAACGATTCCCGAAATGCCTAGATGAGGAAAAACTTGAAGGCCTCGCGAGGCGCGCAATAGTTGTATGATCTAGTCCACACGTCCACCCTGTCAGATATGGGACGACGTTCGTGCGGCGATGTTCCGACGTGAGTTCGACGTAAATCAGACGTGAATCCAACGCTAATCCGACGTGAGTCCAGCGTAAGTCCGACGCGATTCCGACGTGGATCCGACGAACATGTTGTCTCAAGTTGCCGCGCGAGGCCTCCAAGAGTTTCCTCACAAGGGTCGGACCTGGGACGATTTACACTGGGCGATTTCGCCCAGTTGCGGGCCTTGGGACCATCACAGATCGATCCGGTTCGAAAAATGCAGCAGACAGATGGGGTGTGGGACTTTGGTTGAGATTTCCGCGATGTTGCAGCTTGTTTTTGCAGCGTCGGGCCTTCAACGCGTTGACAAAAGTACAGGCCAATGTGGTTTCGCAGTTTTCGGGGTCAGGGGGACCTCGCCAGGCCCCCGAGCCGTCAAATAATTACCTGGGGCGAGCAACCGTCCGCGGGAGGTGGTCCAAATTTCCGGGTACCCCGCATTGATGAAGAATCAAAACATCGGAGGTTTGGGGACGAAAGGGGGGGGATCGAATGGTCAGCTGTACAGTCAAACCGCATATTGAGGATGGGCAACCTTCCCAAGGCTACCCTTGCATTCTTGCCCTTTGGCCCATCCTTGGCCCCTTTCGATGGCCGCGCCGCGCTCGCAGAGCTTCGACATGGCCTTCCAAGGCCCTTGCATTCTTATCGCGCATCCTTGCTACAGTGGGGGCCCATGCCAAGAAACACCTTGCTTGCCTCCAGGGTGCCCTGGGTGTCTTGGGTCTTGATGGCTTTGCGATGGAAAGCGTGACGTTACCACACCAAAAGACCATGGACGTCCTGAGGTCTCAGAGTTGGGCTTCTTGTGGAAGCTTTCTTGTGGTTGGGCCTCCAGTGTATCGCGCATACTTGCTCTACGGAGATGGGGAGGAGGAGGAGGAGGAGGAGGAGGAGGAGGACGAGGACGAGGACGAGGACGAGGACGAGGACGTGGAAGAGGAGGAGCAGGACCTGCGCCGATCCTGGCCAGGCCCAGCTGTGCAGCTGCGCCGGTCCTGGCCAGGCGCATCCCGGGCCCCAGGGGCCGGGGCCTCCCTGGCCTGGCCAGGAGGGCGTGCACGCGCCAATTCCGGGCCCCGCACGGGCCTGGCCCGGATCGGCGCATCTGCACAGCTGGCGCCCTGCAGGGGGGCCCTCCTCCTCCTCCTCCTCCTCCTCCTCCTCCTCCTCCTCCTCCTCTTCCTCCTCCTCCTCCTCCTCCTCCTCCTCCACACTTAAACAAGATGAATACGACTCTCCTCGCTCCCATGGTGGCGTCCGGGAATTGTGCGGCCCCCCTTCCGCGTAATGGTTCTTTCACCGGATTCCCGGGAGTTGGGTTTTCGCTGAGGTTTTTTCAAAACGCTGCTCGGGCTACCGCTCGTTCCTAATCGTGCTCCCGCTGCAGCGTTGGCCTCATTTCCGCGCTTCCTCTCGTTCCGAATCGTGCTCCCACTGCAGCGTTGGCGTCATTGTTTACAGCGCCATGCCACGGCATGCCACGGCATGGTTTTCGGTCCTTCCAAATATGCCCCAAAATCTAGAAAATGGCCTCCCCGACAAAAAGCATCGGACGTGATTACACATTCGGTGTCGATTCGTTGGTTTGTTGGTCCGCACAAGCCCCCCACTTTGGGGCGTCGCCACGCCATGCTATGTTATGCTACGCGTTAATCTTCAACACCATGCTATGCCATGTGATGCTATGCCATGCTACGACATCCGATTGTGCGAATAGAGAGGAGATCTACGCCATGGGAAGGGATGGGAGGGAGTGGACGCGAGCGCACCTAGCTTGTCCTCCTCCCCCTCGGTCCCCATCCCCTTCCTCCTTCTCCGTCTCCTCTTCCTGCCCTGAGGGGGTGGGGTATCGAAACGGCTGCGCGCATCTAGTTTCGGTCACGCTCGCAGGTGCTTCTCTCGACACATTCGCGCTTCCTGCGCTGGGAAAACCGGCTTGGTGAGCTGATTCATCAACCTCCTCCCTTGAGATCCGAGATCACGGGAGAAATGCAACACCGTCGAGATCACCACCTTAGCCAGCCCGTTGCTGTCTCTGTTTTTTCGAGCTGGATCGATCCGCGAGAATATCGGGGCTCGAAACAGGGCAATATCGCCAAGGGCGCGCTCGAGGGCGCGAAATTATTCGCGCTTCGCGCTTCACGGTTCGGCTGGCTTCGATTCCTCCACATCCTCCTCTTCCCCCCTGGGGGGCGGCGCGAGAGTGCGAAGGTATTCGCGCTTCGCGCAGCGCGAGAGCGCGAAGTTTGGCGCCCTTCTATTGCCCGTTGTAGGGAATGCGACGCCAGGATCTCGCGGCGGCGAGCGAGGGGGGGAAGTGAGAAGGAGAAGGCCTTCTCAGAAGGCGGCGGGGCTTCTCAGAAGCCTTCGCGCCGTCTGAGATACCCTCCGTGACATTGGTGAGGCGCAGGAACTTCTCAGAAGGCCGAGTGACTTCCGAGCCCTCTGAGAAGGCCTTCTCTTTCTCACTTCCCCCCCAGGCTCGCCGTCAAATCTGAGGGTTTGCCCTCAGTCCCTCCCTCCTCCCTCAGGACGAGGAGGAGGGCGAGGGTCACGACGACGAGGAGGAGGAGGAGGAGGAGGAGGAGGAGGAGGAGGAGGAGGACCCCCCTCCCCCAGTCGTCCGACCCCCGGAGGACCGGCAGCGCTTCCAGCTCGAGTTCGCCGCCTGGCGGTCGCGGCAGCCGGAGGGCGGCCCCGGAGGCCCGGCGCTGAGGCTGGGCGAGACGATGGGCCGTTTTGCCACCACCACTACGACAGGTAGGCGAGGGAGGAGGAGGAGGAGGAGGAGGAGGAGGAGGAGGAGGACCTCCCCATCCTCCCTTCTCCTCCGTCCTGCTCGTGGAAGTGGTGGCGAAAATTCGGCCCATCACGAGAAGCTTGCCCAGCCGCGCGCCCCCACGTGGTCCGAGCTGATGCACCGCGGGGAGACGGGGCGACCAGAAACATCGGAGGAGGAGAATGTACCGATGCCGCTGCTCCTGCTGGAGGGTTCCTGTCACCACGGCTGGATTCTCATCGAGATTCTGCTCAGAGCGCAGCCTGGGAGAGGTCTGGCGAATACTCTGGATGGGGTATTTATCAGGGGGGGGTGAGCTTATGACTGGGCCTGCCCATTGCCGCCCCCCTCCATCCTCCTCCCCCTCCTCATCCTCCTCCTCTTCCTCCAACCCCCCCTCCTCCCATTCCGACAGCACGTGCCCAACCCCCCCAGCGGATCCAAGGTGGGGGCGATTATTGCCCCATCCAGAGTAGCGATGTCGGTATTGTCGTGCCCCCTAGATACGTATGCACATATACCGATCTTGGCTAGGCCCACCCTGGGCCCAGGATCGGTGCATGTGGCTCCCTAGCCGAGCCGGGAGGGCGTGTGCACCTAGCCTGGCCCCAAGGGTGGTCCAGGCCAGAATCGGCGGTGCACGTGCACAGCTCTCGTCCTTCATAGCAGCAGGAGGAGGAGGAGGAGGAGCAGGAGGAGGAGGAGGAGGAGGAGGAGGAGGAGGAGGAGGAGGAGGAGGAGGAGGAGGAGTCGGCGGTGCACGTGCACAGCTCTCGTCTTTCACAGGAGAGGGGGGCGATGGCGGACGTGTTCGCCGGGGCAAACCTCCAGGGCCTGGTGGAAGACAGGCAGCTGGCGAGGCAGGCGCAGCAGCTTAGGAGTTCCGGGTCAACGCTGGGGGGGGGTAGGCTCAGGGGGGAACGCATCGGCCCCCGATGACCCCTTCATCGCCGATAGAGGCCTGATTCGGGGGTGGATAGACGTCCTACCCTGACACGTCCATTGGCGCATTGGCCGTCTTCCGTTCGCGAGAGGGTGTCGCGGCCATCATGTTTGCGGGTCCAGGTCCGTCGGTTTCGGTCCTAGCACTAAAGGGTGGTTTACTAAAGGGAGGTTTGTCCACCGCCGACTGATGGCCCACCCCGCACAGGAACCTGCTGTTTCGCGATCGAGGGCGCATCGCCGATCAAGCGGCGATCCATCGCCGATTCCAGGTCGATGTTCTCCCCCTCCCCCCCGAGCCAGTCACTCCCCTTGTCTGGGACGCCTGGAGGTTGGCACCAGCACCACTGGTGGGCGATGGCCTCCACTGGGGAGAGAGGATCCCGATGTCGACTGTCGGTGAGTGATCCCCCCAGTGTGGCTGATGCTGCCTCTTCCGCAGCCCCTGAGTCGCGTTCCCCTTCTCAGGAGGGACACCCAGGCTCCGGCCACCCCCGCCGCACCAGCGCGGCACGGCCGAAGGTCGGCATTGGTCAAACCTATCCTGGAGGCGGGCCCGTCCCTCTACAGGAGGCATGTTGGAACATATTCAAAACATCGTCTGGAGGCGATTGTTTGTCTATGTTTTGCTACATGTCCCATAAGTTTGGACTTCTTGTTTCCCTCGAAGGTCCTCCTGGAGGGGGACATGCCCGATTTAAGCCTGTCCCCATCCCCACTAGGCCATGGTACTTATCACAGCCCCACCAGCCCACCGCCCAACGAAGCCCGAAGAAACGGGCAGATCTCCTCACCAAGGTGGGCAAGTCGGCCAGTGAGGCCAAGGCCGCGCCAGTGCGGATGGTCCGCGGACGGCATGTGTGCACCGTACCGCGTTGGCCTCTCCCGAGGCGTCGTCGATCCTCGACCCAGGCATGTCACGGTACAGTCAACGCGCATAGTAAGGACAAACGACTTTTTCAAGGGTACCTTTGGGTCCTGGCCTGCCTCAGCCTCTGCGGCCCGTCCCTAGCAATTTTCGCAGGCCAGTTTCACAGGTTCCCTGGCGGTTTGGCCGCCTGCCGCCCAGAATACTTCAACTTCGGGTTCCAAGGGTCTTGCGTCCTTACCACGCGTCCTTCCTATACGTTTTCACTATACGTACCGCCCTTCGGCCCCCGGTGCGGAGGAACTGTGCACCATACCGCGTCAGAGCGGGGCAGCAACGGAGTCCAAGGCATGGTGCGGTGCACGGGCGCCGCTCTCGCAGACAGGATTGACGGGCCGGTTTTCCACCACCACCACCATAAGGTGGAGGGGGAGGAGGAGGAGGAGGAGGAGGAGGAGGAGGAGGAGGAGGAGGAGGACGACGAAGAGGAGGACGAGGAGGAGGAGGAGGAGGAGGAGGAGGAGGAGGAGGAGGACGTCATGAGTTTTTGCTCCTGACCCGCGAGGGGGTCTGGGGATGGACGGGCGGCGCGCTGCTCCTCAGGTCTGGCAGGGCCGCCGGGGCCGCCGCGCCGCCGGGCGCGCCGTCGGGCGCGCCGCTCGGCGGCCGGCTCGCCGAGCCGGGCCCGGGTCTGCCCGACGAGCCGCGGGGCCACGGGAGGCTGCCCGTGCCGCAGGCCAAGCAGTGGCGAAGCGTCCTGGCTCGCCTACAGCACTACCAAACAATGCTCTAAGAGCATTTTCAAGGGCTCCCACGAGGGCGCGAAGTTATTCGCGCTTCGCGGTCCTCGTTCCTTCTCCCCCTCCTCCTCGTCCTCCTCTTCTCCCTTTGGGGGGGCGGCGCGAGAGCGCGAAGTTATTCGCGCTTCGCGCTTCGCGCAGCGCGAAGCGCGAAGTTGGGAGCCCTAGATTTTGTGGTATCCACGAACTGCTCGAGCTGGAGGGCCGCTGCTGGTCCTGGAGAGTCCTCGTCGCCACTGGCGGGATTCGCCCTGAAAGAGTTTGGTTAGAGTGGGCCCAGGAGTCAAGCAGTGGCGAAGCGTCCTGGCTCGCTTATAGTCCCACCAACAAAAGTTCCAAGAACCTTCTGTGTGGTTTGCACGGAATGTTCTTAGAACATATTTGGCCGAGGCTGTCTTGTTTTAACACATCGGGTTTATGTTCTAAGAACACCGTGCCTGTTCTTAGAACATGTTCGGGTTCTACGAACACTTCGTGGTAGGACTATAGGATTGCTGGGACGGTCGGTCCGTGCTCAAGCAGGGAGCCCCCGCGGCGATGGGGCCGAGCGCGGACGACCTGTTCGCGGGGCTCGGCGTCGGCGACGAGGAGGGCAGGGCTCATTTCGAATCCTCCGATTCGGCTCGATGTCGATGTCGGTGGCCTCCGCTTCCGACTCGAGTCGACCTCGGATTCCGATGTGGATGCCGATTCCTCCATGGAGGCCTACCAGCCTGCCGACTTCTGTCGATTCGACTTCTCCCGACCTGGCTGCCGATTCCTGTCGATCGGATTCGCTCCGATCGCCGATCCGACCTATCGACTCGACTCTGGGCCCTCCTGGGAGGAGCCGCTGGCCCTCGAGGACGCGTCGGGTGCCGCGCCGCCCGGCGGGTTCGGCGGCAGCGGGGCCGGCTTCGCCGCCGAGGAGGGCCCCGAAGGCCAGAGGAGGGAGCGGAGCCGATGCCGCCGTTCGTGCTGGGGAGCCGCGGCTTGCCCTGGGGAGCCCTCGTCGCCACTGGCGGGGTTCGCCTGGAAAGAGTCTGGTCAAGAGGCCCAAGACCACGCAAATGAATGCACACTAATAAGAGGATTCCCCATATTTTCCCATACTTTCTGGGTTTTCGTCTCCCCCCCCCCCTTCCCACATGTTCCCATCTTTTCCTGGCAGTCGACGATGAATTGTGTCTCTGTGTGTTTCTTTCTCTCCTGAGTTTGGTCAGCATGGACCCAGGAGGGGTGCGGGGAGTGGCGGTATCGGTATACTTCAGTGCCCCCCCAAGTATGCACACACACACACACCGATCCTGGCCAGGCCCGTCCTGGGCCCAGGATCGGCGCATGTGGTTTCCTGGCCAGGCCAGGAGGGTGTGTGCACCGAGTTTGGCCCCACAGGTGGTCCAGGCCAGAATCGGTGCATGTGCACAGCCCTCGTCGTTCATAGCAGGAGTAGAAGGAGGAGGAGCAGGAGCAGGAACAGGAGCAGGAGGAGGAGGGGACGATGGCGGGCATATCAATACTTTGTGGGCTCCCCAGCAGGGGACGGGCTGCTGCTGCCGTACGAGGACCAAGGCCTGGAGGAGGAGGAGGACGACCTCTTCGGCTTCGGCGATCTCCCACAGACGATGGGCGCGCCCAAGGTCAGCCACGCGCAGAGGCGGGTAGGGGAAGATGGGAAGGCTTCTTAGACGCACTTAGAAGGCGCGGGCCTTGGCTGTAGATGTAAGGCCGGCGCCTTCTAAGAAGCAGCTTCCTTCTAAGAAGCAGCCTTCCCCCCTCCCACTAGCCCCCTCTGCGCGCCGCCAATAAGGTGAGGGGTCCGCAGATGAAGATCGACGCAAGCGGGAACATCGTTCTCGACGAATCGAGCCTCCACAGAACACTCCACGCGGATGACATGGCCGACACAGAGGAGGCCGCCTCCACCACCGTCCAGTCGGTCAGCGTCTACACTAGCGCCTACCGCAGAACTCCGCCGACGAAGTGGACCGAGCTGGAGACAGAGCAGTTTTACGAGGCCCTGAGGCTGTACGGCTCCGACCTCTTCCTCGTCCAGACCTTTTTCCGCAACAAGAGCACGGCGCAGATCAAGACGAAGTTCCAGAAAGAGCTCAAGAAACATCCTGACAAGGTGGACGAGGCTTGGAGCTGGCTGGGATGCTGAAATGGCCCGACATTTATGGCTGGCCAGCAGACAGAAGGGGGGGGGGGGCAAGGTGATCACTGTGTGCTCACTTCGCCCGCCCCACCCCCTCCCTCTGCTCTCTGGGCCGCCGCTTCTGGCCAGGTAGTGTCAAGTCGGGCATGTCCCTCTACAGGAGGACAATTCAAAAAGAGTTTAAGAATAGTCTGGGGACGATGCTTCCCATATTTTGGGTTCGTTTGTGCGCATGTAAGGGTACCGACCATACGTAAGAGTGGCCTTTCGCTGGAGTGACCGTTGGTGCGGGCCCAAGGGGGCCCCCCGATCGCCGAGTGCGATGCGGTAGTAGCGGCTTGCGCGCTCGTGCCTGGTCCCCCCGCGGCCCCCAATGAGCCGCGCACCAAAGGTCACTCTTACCCAGGGTCGCTCCTGCGTGCAGTCGAGGGTAGTGTCTGCCGGCCGACCGCTCCTCCGCGGACCCCGCGGGCACTCCGCGGACCCCGTGCCCGTCCGCCGCTCCACTCGGGCCGGGCGAAAGGGGGGGGTTGGGAAAGGGGGGGTTACGAAATCTGATGCATGCAGCTGGTTTCGGCCTCACCGAGGGGCCCATTCCTCGATACATGGGCGCCTCCCGGCGCCGGGAGGCGCCGGGAAAATCAGCCACGTGAGCTGATTCTCAAACCCCCCCTTTGCTATCCCCCCCTTTCGCCCGTCCACCGCTCCACCGCGGACTCCTCCAGCCGTGCCCGTCCGCCGCGGCCCCCGCGGGCACTCCGCGGGCCTCTCCCCGCACTGCCCGGGCGTCCCCCCGCCGCGGTGCGCCGCCGAGCAGGCCCGCGGGGCGGAGCGGGGCGGAGGGATCCGCCCCGCGCCGTCGGGGCCAGTTTCGGCGGGACGGTTCCTCCTCCCCATTCTGCTCCTCCTCCTCCTCCTCCTTTTTCTCCTCCTCCTCCTTTTTCTCCTCCTCCTCCTCCTCCTCCTCCTCCTCCTCCTCCTCTCCTCCTCCTCCTCCTTTTTTTTTCTCCTCCTCCTCCTCCTTCTCCTCCTCCCCCTCCCCCTCCCCCTCCCCCTCCCCCCCCTCCTCCCGCGTCCGCCCCGCGCGGCCGGGGCCAGCCTCGGTGGGGACTGCGTGGGCCTCCCAGATGGGGGTCGGGGTCGATGGGGTCGGAGGCTCGCGCCGCATCGTCGATGCCTCGGCGATGCGGCTCGATGCGGAGCCCGATCTTCTCGGGGGTGGACAGACCGCCTACCCTGCCACGTCGATTAGTGAATTGTCCGTTTTCGGTTCTCGAGAGGGCGCCGCGGCCGCCATTTTCCAGGCGTGCGCCCGCCAGGTTTGGGCCCGAGGTCGTTTTCACTAAACCACGTTTTACTAAAGGGAGGTCTGTCCATCGGCTCTGCACGAGCGAGATGGGCACGGAAAGAATGAGTACAATGCTCAACAGCAGTTCTTGCTCATTTTGAACAGGACTCGCTGTCCGCGCCGCCGCGGCCCGTGTCCATTTGGAGACAGAAGGCCCCCCTGCCCAGCAGCGGCCGCTGTTGGTTTGGGACAACACTCGTTCTTGGGCATTGTACCCATTTGTTCCGTACCCATTTCGGGCGTCCAAATCGGCGATGCGGCTCGATGCGGAGCTCGATTTTCGAAGAAGGAACAACAATGTATAAACAGAAATTGTTGGCACTCCGCACGGATGTCTTGGAGCCGCGCCTGGACCCAGTTTATGTTTATGGGGTGATGTCTTCTTCTAGATTTTCTCCACGCTGGCGTCGCCGATTCATCGCCGACGTCGCCGATGCATCGCCGATGTATCGGCGACGCGGCGCGATCCTCCGGCCCCATCTGCTCCGACCCCATCCAGGCGGCCTCTGGACGGTCCATTCTCCCCATGCCCCATGCCGGGTGGGCGACGCCAAAAAGCGGGCCCAAATGCGCCGACATCGGCGCGTAGGTTCCTTGCGCAGGGTCGCGCGCACGCGCCCTCGACTCCAGTGCGGCGTGCCGCGCCGGCGGCCCGCGCGGGCCGCCGTGCAAGGTCGCCGTATGGCATCGCTCGCAAGGCCCGTGTTTGATCGCCGCTCGGGTGTCTTCGTGGCCGTCTTGCACGCGAGGCGTATCACGGGGTGCTTCGGCCCGAGCATTTTCCATTTGCACTGGGGGCTCAGACATCGATCGTCTAGCAGTCTTCGGGTCTTCGGGTCTTCGGGTCAACCCCGATGGCATGCCGGGGTGCTGCTTCAGAGGCCTCTTTGATGCATCGGAGGTTATCCCCGGATGCCTCTTGGACACTCTGGGGGCCTCTTGGAGGCCTCTCGGAGGCGTCTTGGGGGCCCAGTGGGAGCCTCTGAGGTCCTCTGGAGGCTACCTGCGAGGAACTGTTACCAGGGTCTGTTCGTATTCTCCTTCTTGAGACTCTCAAGGCCCTCTTTGGGCCGCCTTGGGAGCCTCTGGGGCCTTCTTGAGGGCCTTTGGGGCCGTCTTAGGGCTCTCCTTGGCCATCCTGCAGCTCTTTTCGGGGGTCCCTCGGCGTGATCTCTGGGGCCTCTTGTGCCGTCTTGGGCGTTCTGCAGCTCGAGCACGGGAGCGCGTGCCCCAAAAGCGTTGATTTTTTGTGGGAGCTCGATATGTTTTTGGACCGCAGAGGCCATCTTGGGGGCCCTCCTGGCTCTTGGGGCCCTCTTCTGGAGCGCCTTGGAGCCCTCCTGGGCCGTCTTGGCGCCATCCTCCCGGGCAGACTCTGGAGGAGGAGGAGGAGGAGGAGGAGGAGGAGGAGGAGGAGGAGGAGGAGGAGGAGGAAGGGGGCCCTCTGGGGCCGCCTGGGAGCTTGCTTTGGTCCGTGTGGGGGCCCTCTGCGGCGCTCCTGCTGCGCCTGGGAGCGCTGCCGGGGCAGAGGCGCCACCGTCCGCGGGACTTCGGCTCGGGACCTCCCGTGCTCTCGGAGGCGGCCGCTCTCTGCCCAGGGCTGGGCGTGCACGTCGGCCCTCCTTCGACGGAGGAAGCGTTATAAAGCCAGGCTTGTCCCCCTGCAGGAGGAGTACTCAAAGATAGTCAAACATAGTCTGGGGACGATGTTTGGACTATTGTTGACTATTTTGTTGTATTTTTTGGAGGTTGCGCCTGCGGGGGGATATGCCCGACCTAAAGGAAGTGCCGCCCCGACCCCCCCGAGCGACATTTACATACAAAGGCCGTGTGCGTTTACCAATCAGCCCTACCTTGCTCGATTCCTTCCGTGGGTGCGTTTGCTGTACGCCGGCCGCGCGCAGGGGGGGGGAGAGGCTTCCAGAAGGCGCGGGCCTCGTCTACGGTTGTGGGGCCGGCGCCCTCTGAAAGAAGCAGCCTCCTTCTGCGAAGCCTCCATCTCCCTGCCCCCTCGTGCACGCCGCCGAGAGGTGTTCTGGGGAGGGGCGCCCTCCTCGCACGCCTGGTGGCCCTCACGGGCCAGCGTGGCTCTTCAGAGGTTCGGACCTCTTCCTAGGGCCAGGTTTTTCATTAAGTCGGAACTGTCCCTCTACAGGAGGATTATTCAAAGATAGTCAAAAATTGTCTGGGGACGATGTTTTGAACCATGTTTGAGCATTTTTGGAATGTCTTTTTGGGTATTGTTAAGTTTTCGCCCAAAATCCCCCTGTAGGGGGACACGCCCGACTTAAGTCTTTCATCCTCAGCTGTTTTTTTGACAGCCGCGGAGCCCAGCGAGGTCCCTCGGAGGCCGAAAGCAGCTAAAAACCTGGCGAAAAGGCCAGGGTCCACCGAGGCCCTCACGAAGCAGGCCAAGAAGCTCACGAAGCACACCTTCGAGCAGCTGCACGGCAAGATCGACACCTCAAAGCACTACAAGCCGCCGCCAACACCGCCGTCTGGGGAGGACCTCTCGTGCCGACCCCTGGGCAGGAGGAGGAGGAGGAGGAGGAGTCAGGAGGATGAGGAGGCGAGGAGGGCAGAGGAGGAGGAGGAGGAGGAGGAGGAGGAGGAGGAAGATGAGGAAGAGGAAGAGGAAGAGGAAGAGGGAGACGCAGAGATGCAGCAGCAGGAGGAGCAGCAGCGGCAGCAGCAGGAAGACTTGGAAGGAGGCAGCAGCAGCAGCAGCAGCAGCAGCAGCAGCAGCAGTCAACGTGTGCTCCGAATAAGTGGGTGGGAAAAGGGGGGGCCCTGTCTCCCGTAGCCCCTTGGCATCGCATGGACGTGTGCGTTTTTTCTCGGCGAGGCTATCGAGGAACAGATTAGATCATCTGGCGTAACCAAAACATGAAGAACGGACGTCCGAGCGATGGCGAGGTGCTTGTCTTCTATGGCTAGGCTGCGCGCACGTGCCTGCCGAGGGATGACCGGGCGCCTGCTTGGCGGGATGGCGACGTCGGCAGAGCTTGGCCGGGCCTCTGATTCCCGACATCCGACCGCTTTTGTCCGGGTTCCGACTGCCATTTCCCCCCTCGGAGGGGCGGGCCGCTCGTGAGACAGGTGTCCCGAAGGGGTGGGTGGGAGAAAGGGGGGGCCCGGGCTCCCCTCGCGTCGCGAAAGAACTTACCAGCCTGGAACCTGTCCCTATCCCTATGGTAGGCATCGCCTCGTCACGATGGCGATCTCAGGGATTCCCTCAGTTTCTGAGGGTGCATCTCTAAGATTGTCATCGCCTTTTGGCGTGTCAATCTCAGGGATAGGGATAAGTTCGAGGCTGGTTAAGAACAACACGACGTGCGGTGTTTGGCACATGTTCGGCCTCCGCGGGCCATCACCAGACCCCGGGGTTGCTAACAGAAGTCCGGGAGGAAACAATTGTCCCTGGGATCGAGTGGGTCGGGACCTCGAGCTGCAAGACAGAGAAGCACGACGCAGGGAATGGCCAGAAGCATCTGGTCCTGATTGTTTCGTTACCGTCCGGGTCTCTGGCGGCCGCTCGGGAGGATCCGGGCCCCCCGGGGAAGCTCCCAGCGAGGCGCAGCCGCAGGGGGGCATCCTGAGCTCGGAAACCTCCACGAACCACCGAAAGCTCCCGTCGTTCAGTATCGTTTAACCCCGTCCCCATCCCCATCCCCATCCCCATCCCCATCCCCACCATCCCACCACCCAAGCTGGGGATAACCGCATGCCGATGATAATAAAGGGACCCCCCCCCCTTCAGTGTTTAGAGTTGATTATCGTCGCCCTATACAAAATTCAAATTGGGCGGCGAGCGCTGAGGCCGAACTTCATTATCACCTCGAAACGCTATGTTGAGATAGCAACATCAAGCGATGTTGATATAGCAACATCAAGCGAAGCGATCACACTTTTTCAGGATGTGTCAAGCGAAACCAATGTATGTATGTATCCCCGCGCGCGCCTGAACTTTTTTATCTCTGGGGTTGATTATCCATGGAAAGGGGAGCACATGAGCTACCCTACATGAGCACTTAAAAAATCAATTTTCATAAAGCGTTTGTAAATTAAAATTGATAGATTTGGAACTTTCCATTTTTCCGTTCTGCTTCTCTTCTTCTTCTCTTCTTCTTCTCTTCTTATTATTATTATACTTTCCTCTTCTTCTTTTATATTTCTGTCTGTCCTCACGCTCGCCTGAACTTTTTTATCCCTGGGGTTGATTATCCATGGAAAATGAAGCACATGAGCTACCCTACACGAGCACTTAAAACATCAATTTTCATAAAGCGTTTGTAAATTAAAATTGATAGATTTGGAACTTTGGATTTTTCCTTTCTTCGTCCTCTTCTTATTCTCCTCTTCTTCTTCTTTCTTATTATTATTCTACTGTATTCTTCTTCTTTTATATTTCTCTCTGTCCCCACGCTCGCCTGAACTTTTTTATCTCTGGGGTTGATTATCCATGGAAATTGAGGCACATGAGCTACCCTACACGAGCACTTACAAACAACAATTTTCATAAAGCGCTTGTAAATAAAATCTAATAGATTTGAAACTCGAGATTTTCACAAAACGTGCTCGGCTTGGTCTCCTCTTGATCATCTCTTACTTCGAGATTATGATGATGTCTGCTGGGCTACTTTTATTATCTCTCCCTGAACCCCGAACTTTATTATCCCCTAGTGTTTATTCTCACGGGCATGAGGTTATGCGCCTCGAAGCTCGAAGGGCGCAGCCCAGATCCCCATCAAGGGAGGTAAGTCAGCCAGTGGTGCCCAGGCCACGCTCGTGGGGATAGGGATCGGTTCAACGATACTCAGTCGTGATCTCTTCGTGCCGTGATGGGGGTCAGGGTCACCGCAGTGCACGCTTGCTGCTCGCACGCGCTGCGACACTCGGGGGCAACGTCAGTCGAAGAAGAAAAAACAGCGTAAACATAAACGTTTGGCGCTCCGCGCGGATTTCTTGGATCCGCGCTGGGCACCCCCCGGCGGCGCCTCTGGCGCCGCCCCTGGCGCGCTCCGCGCGCCAGGGAGGTGGGTCCAGCGCGGATCCAAGAAATCCGCGCGGAGCGCAAAAAGTTGATGTTTATGCTGTTTTTGCTTCCTCACCGCAGTGCGCGCTTACTGCACGTACGCGCTGCGACACTCGGGGGCAACGTTAGGGGGGGGTCGGCTCACGGGGGAAGGCATACCCCCGATCGCCCCGCCCAGAAACGTGCGCATTTACGATCGGGGATCTACAGTCAAAGTCCCCTCCTTCGCTACTTCATCAAGGATGGATGCGCTGCTATCGAGTAAGGATGCGCTGCTTCATCAAGGCTACCCTTCCTTGCATCCCTGCTTCCTCGGTCCATCCTGGGCCAGCGTTGACGCCCAATGAGCTCCACATGGTAAACGGGACTTCAAGAGTCTTGCATCCTCACCCTGTATCCAGACTGTGGACTTTGACTGCATCGCTAATGGATTCCAGATTGATGCTCCCCCCCATGAGCCCTTTCCCTCCCCTATCATGAAGTCGGGCATCTCATCTCCCTCTACAGGAGGAAAACTCGAAATAGTAAGAATATAGTCTGGGGATGATGTTTCGACTAGTTTTTGACTATTTTTGAGTACTTTTGGGTTCTGTGTTAATTTTCGTCCCAAATCCGCCTGTAGGGGGGACATGCCCAACATAACCCTACGGTAGGTTCGCGTCGTGTTGACCAGCGGCGACCCCAGCGCGGGCGTTCAAGGTTGAACGCCGCCGGCGACCCAGAATCGATCGATGTTGAACGATCGGACGTTGCGGCAGCGGCCGATCGTTCAAGGTTGAACGATCCCTGCGGTGTCAGAAACCAACGCTGGGGTCGGCACGACACGAACCTGCCCTATCACTGTCACTGCCCCTCAGACACGCTCGGCGCGGCCCGCCGCCCCGGCCCGCCCGAGGACGAGGCCGACGGGTCGCTGCCCGGACAGGGGCGCCCGTCGGCGCCCGAGGAGGACGACGTGCCGCCGCCAGAGCCGGAGTACTCGGCCGAGGACCCTCGGGCGGACGGCCACCGGGGGGGGCAGCCTCCGAACGGCGACCCTGAGATCTGGGCGTCGCCATTCTTGTTCTTGTGTCGGGGGTGGCCAAGAGGGGGGTGATGACTAGGGGGGGGGGATATCACGGCAGGGGCCATGATCTCTCCCCACTTCTTCCGACCGAAGGGTCGGGATCAGCTCGAGGCTGGTTACAGACCGCCCCACACCGCTACCCGCCCCCTTTTCCTCTTTTTGCTTTTGCGCGCCTTTCGCCATCTTCCTCCTCGTCCTTGGAACGGCCTGGGGCTGAGCGAGCCATCTAGCAGGCTTGACTCAAGGACCCTGGGCTTGCAGCCCTCGTCACTCTTGGGGGCGCAGGCAGGATGCTGAGAGAAGTGCCAGCTCGGGTTCGGGGGGTGCGCCGTTGTTCGGCCCGTTCCGTATGAGTAGGTTGGGGGGCCTCGTCGTGGCTGAGGCTCGCCGAGGCCAGAAAAGCCCTTCTTTCATTCCTCACTCAGCATGTCCTATGCTGGCGCGAGGACCGTGCCTTTGCGGCCCCCGCGCGCCGATGCTCCTCAAGCTCCCCGCAGGCAGCCCACGGCGCGATCTTCCTGCTCACGGCGGCGTGGAGCCCTGGAGGTCTGGGCCCTCTCCCCGGGGACCAGCTCCCCATGACGAGCGAGCAACAACATGTACCCGCACCCATAGGGGGGGACGGAGGACGGAGGGGGCCACGGTGAAGTGGACCCTGCCCTTCTACAGGAGGAATATCTTCAAAATGATGAAGAAATAGTCTGGGGACGATCTGTTGACTATTTTTGCCCATGTGGGGGGGTCTGTTTTGAGTATTTTTTCATTTTCGCACAACATCCCCCTGTAGGGGAACACGGCTACGGGTACGTGCTGTTGGATGGACGTTCCCAGCTCGAGCTGGGGACCCCACCAGGGTCCGACAGCCCGCGCCCAGAATAACAGCCAGTCCTCCTCCCCCCGACCCCCTTGTAGGTAATTATGGGCGCGCGTTGTTCGCGCATCTAGCGCGCCCCACTGATGCCCGATCGCCAGAGCAGTAGCTTCCGCCCAGCCGCCGACGCAAAAAGTGAACGTTGTTCGTTCGTCTCTCTCCTGTGCCCAGGGGGGGTCCGTCACGCGCCCACGGATGCCGAGAGCGGCCCACACGATCCCGTCGTGATGTCTTCGCGGCGCGAGGAGGTCGGGTCTCCAGTGGCCGCTCGGGACAGTGCTCGGGTCTCCAGTGGCCGCTCGGGGCAACACGGGCGGCTCGAGAAAGCTCCCGGCGAGGCGCAGCTGCAGTAGTGCATCGTGAGGCAGGACAGCCCCCCCAGAACCGACGAAGACCTTCAAGATCCAGCGGGAGATCGCGCCGACACCAATATCGGAAGTGTGCCTCAACCGAGGGAAGAATATTCCGATTTCGGCGATGGTGGTAATGTTTTGGCTTCCAAGGTAGCCGAAATATTAGCTCCAACGCCGAACGCTAGGATCATGTTCCCCCCTTTGGAGGCAACCTCCTGTGTTGGTGTTGGTGCCAATTTCCAGGCCTCCAAGGAGAGCCCGACGAGTCCTCTACGAACCGTCAAGGGCCCCCACCGTGCATTGGGCGACCGGGGTGGGAACCTGCGCCGCCTGCTCCTGGCAGTCTGTGCCGCGCGGCGGCGGAGAGGCAGACGCAACCGAGAGGCAAGCAGACAAGGGGGTGAACGCGCAGGCGGGAGGCCATGCCGGCAGGCTGGGAGCAAGGGGGGGAAAAGGCGATGTTGATGATGATGGTGATACATACGATGATGATGGTGATGTTGATGATGGTGATGATGATGGTGATGGTGATGATGGTGATGATAATGATGGTGATGATGACGCTGGTAATGATGACGATGGGGATGATGATGGTGATGATAATGATGATGCGGAGGGGGATGAGGAGCGGATCTCCGATCCATGTCTGCGCAATGTCAAGAAGAGTCGGACGTGGGCGCGCGAGGACGAGAGCCTGACCACGAACAGTTTCCTGGCCCTCCTCCTCCTCTTCTTCCTCCTCCTCCTCTTCCCCTCCTCCTCCTCCTCCCCCTCGTCCTCCTCCTCCTCCTCCTCCTCCTCCTCCTCCTCCTCCTCCTCCTCCTCCTCCTCCTCCTGCCCCTCCTCCTCCTCCTCCCCCTCGGCCGAGGACGAGAGCCTGACCACGAACAGACTCATGGCCCTCTTCGACTGAGCCGCCCCGCCGTGCGCGCCGCCGTGGCTCTGCGCCCGCCGCCCCCACCGGGCGGCGGCGTGCCGGGCGGCTTGGCCGCGCGCCAGAGCGGGGCGCCGGCGGCCGAAGCCCTCTGCGGCTCCCCCCCTCCCCCCCCCCTCTCCCTCCCATCCCCCCCCTCCCTGCCCCCTCCCCCCTCCCTCCCTCCTCGCCTCCCCCTCCTCTTTCTCCCGGCTCCTCCTGCTCCCCCTCCTCCTCTTTCTTGTGTCTCCTCCTTTCGTTTCTCCTCCTCCTCCTCCTCCTCCTCCTCCTCCTCCGTCTCCTCCTCCTACATGTGCCATGGGCCAGCATGTCGGGCAAGATCCGCCCGCGCCGCGCGCCCGCCTCCTCCTCGCGGGTCCGTCCTTGCCTCCCCCCACTCCTCCTCTTGCCCGCAAGGCACTCCTCCAGCATCCAGCAACGGTGCATTCGTGATGCCCAGGTGGCTGACCCAGCTCGCCCTCGAGGGAGATCCCAATTTCCCGCTATGGCCCCGTTGGTGCCCGTCCTCCTGCAGACGCGCAGCCTCTTTTCAGCGGATGATCTGGGGTGCCAGTCTCGGGGTGCCCGGGGTTCCCTCTTTTAGGTTTCTCCAGTTTTCTTTTCGGGTTTTCTTTTCTTTTTGTTCCCTCTCAGTCTCTCAGTCTCCCCCTCTCGCCGTTCTCATTCGTTCCCTCTCAGTCTTTTCTTGTCCTTTCTCTTTTTAGGTTCCCTCTCAGTCTCTTTCCCAGCTCGCCCTCGAGGCAGATCCCAACTTCCCGCTATGGCCCCGTTGGTGCCCGTCCTCCAGCAGACGCGCAGCCTCTTTTCAGCGGACGATCTCTGGTTTTTCCAGCCTCGGGGTGCCCTCCTGCAGCGGCGCCTCGCCGACAGCGTTCGGGGGGGGGGTCCAGCTCGTCGCGAGCGGCCGCCGGGGCACCCGAGGGAGGTCCCGCAGGCCCCGACCTCCCCGCGCCACGGACGAAAGCATGACGAACTGCTTTTTTGCCATTTTCGGCCCCCCGGAGCTCGCACTTCAGGGTCCCCTTGGGCGCCGCGTACGTGGGGGGGTCATAAATGGGGGGGTGGCGAGGGTGGTCCGAAAAGGTACCCAAACGGTACCTAAACGAGCCCCCTGGCTCTGGAGGTGCCCGAAAGGGGTACGAAAGGGGGCCTTTTCTGGCCCCCCCATTTGTGACCCCCTCATTAAGCCACGCCCAATCCCCAGCACCGTCGAAAATCATACAGGATGGGAAGCCCGTCCTGGCGAAGGGGTCGCGACTTTGGGGGAGCCACGTGATGAAAAGCCACAAAGCGTCGGATGTCTCGGCCTGTCTGGCTTCCAGCGGCATGGTGCCTCTCAGATCGCAGGCTGGGCCGGACAAGCGCAGATGCTTCAGGCTGTTGCAGCCGCACTGTTACCCGGAACCCGCCGGGTGGCGGGCGGGGTGGAGGAGGAGGAGGAGAAGGAGCAGGAGCAGGAGCAGCAGCAGGAGCAGCAGCAGGAGCAGGAGCAGGAGGAAGGACGGTCGCAGGGCCTCTTGCGAGCAGTGGCAGAAGTTCGAGCTCTTGGACCCCATAACTAGTCTCGTGGCAGCGGAGGGGGGGCAGTGCCAGGGGGCGGTCTTGTCAAGAGGCACCCCGCCCCCGCTCTGCCTCTTGAGTGCGCAGGGAGGGAGGCATGGTGCTATCAGAGGGGGCCGATGCCCTCTAAAGATCCCCTTGCCTTGCGAGCACATTTGTGGATATACAGCGGTCTTTCGCGACTCGGGGCTCGTAAGGGTGGCGTCTGGTCCTGTGGTCCCGATGAGTGGGCGTCGACGACGATCACGTGGTGGACGCGGGAGGGCAGATGCCGCATTCTTAGACTATTCTTGCCCCCTGGCCTTGCGTCTTCTTTTCGATGGGCCTCCAGCGGCTCCGAGCTCCGCAGCTCTGAGCCAGAGAGAGTCGCCCGCTCGCCACGGGGCCGGCGCGTGAGCGCGAAAGGCCACCGCGTCCCGCGACGTAGGGAAAGGAAGAGGACTGCCAGGTACGCTGTAGGCTTCGAGGGCACCTAGAACCCATCTTTGAGGATGAGGCGACCATCAGAACCCTGGTCAGGGTGATTGCGGTTTCCGACCCACCCGCTGTCCAAAGCAGCATGCCCATGCAGAAAGGGAGTTGCAAAGGCTCTAGGAGGTCTCATCCTTAAAGTCTTTAGGATGGCAGAAACCAATCCTTTGAGTCAAATGGTTTCCGGGGATCTTAACGCATGTGGGATGAGTGTTATGAATGGGCTAGGTGGCCACTGACGTGGTACGTCCCCCACGGTTTCTGAACTCGCCCCGGCTTGGTTTCGGCCATCCTCGGAGACGACAGCCGGAAGGGCTGCTCAGGTGCGCGGGAGAGGCATCGCGCAAGTGATGCAGATTGCTTCGGAGGTGCGTACTCCTGCAGCCTCGGGGGCCTTGCGCTTGGGCTTGCCGCCGCCGCTGCCTGTGTGGGGCTGGAAGCCCCCTCCACGCTGCTCTTCATGGTAGGGTCCGCGGCGGCGCCAGCCTCCGCTGTGGCGGTCGCGCGGCGCCATGGGCGGGGCACCCGGCGTGCCCGTGCCCACTTCTGCGCCGCCCGTCCACTCGTTCATGCTGCTGTAGGTGTTGACGGTGCCGCGGTTTAGGGGTCCACTCGGGCTCTTGCCCTTTCCGTTGTCCTGCCCCTTGCCCGCTCCTTTGTGCAGGCGGCCAATATGGCCGGTGAGAACGGGAGCCTGCGAAGGCCTATAGGGAGTTTGGGAGCCTTTGTGGCCGCTGGCCCCTCCGCTTTGAGCTGCGGGCAGTGGGGTCCACGGTTACAAGCGTAGCCGCCCGGGCTGTGCACAATTTGCCCATTGCAAGCCGAGTGCGGGCAAGGGCCAACAAACGCCGAGCGGGCGCTCGGGCTGCCGGGTCCCTGCATACTGACTGTGTGTGGTAAAGCAGACGGTGCTGACACAGTGGACGCTAAGCTTGAACCGGAACGCTACAACGGCGGGGACAACATACCCCCCTTGCACGCAGCGCCAGCCGAGGGGGACCGACAGAGAGTCACAATGCGGTACCGCATCAATTACTGGGTATGGAGGGCTCGAGGCGTAGCACCGCATGCAGTCCTACGCAAACCTCTCCCCCCGTACGCGGGGGGGAGGAAGCGGGGGGGAGGAGGCGGGAAAGTCTTCGTCCGGACCTCCGTGCGCGTCCAGACCGTACTGTGACGAGGGGGGTTTGGCCTGGGGTGTCAAGCCCCCTCTGCCCTCGAAACTCTGGCAAGATTGGGAAGATAATGCGAGGGAAGGGGGTGGGGGGGAATGGGCTTGCAACCAACTCAATAATTAACCGAAATATAGGCATGATTGGACATAGCACTTAATAAACCAACTCTGGCGTGTGATTGTTGAGTGGAAGCAGGACCGCCGGCCTAACCACCGGGCTGTGTCCTGGAGGTCGATGCCTCTATACGAATGTGGAATGAGGGCAGGACTGCCGGCATTGCCGCCGGGCTGTGTCCTGGAGGTCAGCACCTCTGATGTGCGCTTGGGGGTGAAAGCAGGACCGCCGGCATTTCTGGCGGGCTGTGTCCTGGAGGTACGTACCTCTGGATTCGCGCGTGGGATGGCAGCAGGACCGCCGGCATTTGCGCCGGGATATGTCCTGGAGGTCATTGCCTCTGGCGTGCGTGTGTTGAGTGGGAGCAGGACCGCCGGTCTCGCCGCCGGGCCGTGTCTTGGAGGGCGATGCCTCGGTGTACAAGTGTGAAGAGGAGGCAGGACCGCCGGCGTTGCCGCCAGGCTGTGTCCTGGAGGTCAGCACCTCTGATGTGCAGTGGCTGGCAGCAGGGCCGCCGGCATTTGCGCCGGGCTATGTCCCGGAAGTCAGTGCCTCTGGCGTGCGAGTGTTGAGTGGGAGCAGGACCGCCGGCCTCGCCGCCGGGCTGTGTCCTGGAGGACGATGCTTCTATGGTGTACGAGTGTGGAGAGGAGGCAGGACCGCTGGCGTTGCCGCCAGGCTGTGTCCTGGAGGTCAGCACCTCTGATGTGCAGTGGCCGGCAGCAGGGCCACCGGCATTTGCGCCGGGCTATGTCCCGGAGGTCAGTGCCTATGGCGTGCGAGTGTTGAGTGGGAGCAGGACCGCCGGCCTCGCCGCCGGGCCGTGTCCTGGAGGACGATGCCTCTATGGTGTACGAGTGTGGAATGAGGGCAGGACTGCCGGCATTGCCGCCGGAATGTGTCCTGGAGGTCAGCACCTCAGATGTGCGAGTGGGGGTGAAAGCAGGACCGCCGGCACTGCCGCCGGGCTGTGTCCTGGAGGTCCACACCTCTGGTGTTCGCGCGTTGGGATGTCAGCGGGGCCGCCGGCATTTGCGCCGGGTTGTGTCCTGGAGGTCAGTGCTTCTGGTGTGCGAATGGTGAAGCAGGACAGCCCGGCCTTGCCGCCGGGTTGTGTCCTGGAGGTCAGCACCTTTGCTGGCCTCTTGCCACTGTCGCCCCCCTACTCACTCCTCTAAGGGCTCGGCTGGGGTGCTCGTCGGGTGTGGCAAACCCACACCCTTAGTGGCGCCCCGTGCGTCCCCAGCCGATTCCCCCAGAAGAGTCTGGAGCAGCATTGGCACGGGGAGGGAAAGGAAGAGGAGCAGGAGGATAAGGAGGAGGAGGAGGATGAGGAAGAGCGGGAGGAGAAGGAGGCGGAGGCGGAGGAGGGGGATGAAGAGGAGGAGGAGGAGGAGGAGGAGGAGGAGGAGGAGGAGGAGGAGGGGGAGGAGGATGAGGAGGAGAGGAGGAAGGAAGAGAATAAGGAGAGGAGGCGGATGAGGAGGACAGAGGAGGAGGAGGCGGAGGAGGAGGAGGAGGAGGAAGACGAGAAGGAGGCGGAGGAGGGGGAGGGGGCTGCCGCAGACCGAAGATTACCAGAAATCGTCTTTCGTGTTTCTGTTTGTGTTATGGCGCGAGGATGTCTGGGGGGAGGAGGAGAAGGAGGATGATGAGAAGGATAATGAAGGAGAAGAAGAAGGAGGAGGAGGAGGAGGAGAGGGAGGAGGAGAGAAGGAGGAGAACACTTGAAATCCCAAGACGCGTCAAACATGTTGCAAGCACCTC